TAATCAGTTGTTGGATTGAACGATGGATAGATTGAGCGATTGATTCTGCGAACATTGTTTCCCTTTACCTAGTATATATACATACATCTATATATATATATATGTATATGCTCGATTCAAGTACAAAACGTACGAAAATAGAACATAGAATATATATTCTAAGAGTGACTTGAGCTTAGTTTATTGTCGCCTTTTTATATCTCAATATGAATGGAACCCAAAATTGGTTAAAAAGGGTAGCACCAAGTTGTGCAAAAGTATGTAAAAGTCATTTCCGAACCCATAATGTATATATACTCTTGATCAGTATCAATTTGCCAGTCGATATAGTGGAGGCAGCGATAACAACGATATAATATACCCTGAAGAGAAATGAAATTTCTGTGAATCAAATATTATTTTCATCCTGAACAAACTACAGAGTCCATTTGAAAGCTGGGCTAGGGTATCTCCTCGTCGAGCTGTCTTGACTATGGTATTCTAATTTATTATGCACAAAATGTAACAATTTAGATGTAAGAATGCCCTTTTGTAGTCTTATAACAGAGATGTAATCTCAAGAATTGCGATATGATATAAAGTAGCACAAAAGCATCTGTTTGATGCGTGTTGTCATTGCAAGCCGTTGTTGCTGTTGTTGTTGTTGTTGTTATTATTGTTATCGTGGTTGTAGTTAAAAATTAACAACATGATAAGTTTGTCTTGCACTTGCACAAAATATTTACTTGCATAATAACAATAAGAAGCACAATAACAATAACAGGATGACTCGCCGACGGGCAATTGGGGCTGGGGTCGGGCTTGGGGGTTATGGTTATTGTTGTTGGCGCTTTTAGTTAAATTTGTAATTTCTCGATGCTTGGGCGACGATGACGTTCCACGGTTGTCAAGGTGAAGACAAGCAAAACAAAAACTCTGCTTGTCAAGTGAGCAACAACACCAGGCAACAACAACAACAAGAACAGTGACAAAAGCAACAATAAAAAGAACAACAATTGCTCAAATTGCGCATTCGACCAAAATCAAGTCAACATAGAAAATATATCAAAACAAGATACTCGAACAAATTGTCCAATAACAAACACAACAATTAAAGTGGGCCCGTTCTGGCAGCGAACGCGCCTCCAAGAGCAACTACACACACACACACACACACTCACACACATACATATATATATACACACAGACGTTCATAAAATATATATACATAAATCTGTATCATACAAAGTTGCTTTGCTCTTTTTTCAATTACAATTATGCCCCCAAAATTCTTTGACTTTTTATATTTTTGAATTTGATTTTAAAATGCATAAATATTTAGTTTAATTTCATTTAAGTTTTTAATTTGATTTAATTTAATATATTTTTCATTTTCTGCACACCCATTCTATTTAATTACTCCCAGATTTTATTAATTTTTTATGTTGTGTGTGTGTTTTTTTTTAAATTTAAATTAAAGCTTGAATATTATATCATAAAATATTTTCATTTCAAATTTTTAATTAAATTTAAATGCTCAATTATTAAATGTTGTTTTTAATTTTGTAATTTAAGATTTGAGTCAAGGCCCCGCTACAATTACATAACTGGAAAGGTGGATTGCTGGTGGTGGTGGTGGAATCCTATTCCTTAGATTAATTTAATGCTTATTCACTGGTCGAGGTAGTATTTTGCTCAGCTGCTGCCGGTTGCTGCACGCGCCTTCAATTGTGTCATTTGATAGACGCACACACACACACACACACAACAAGTAGCTGTAGATAGATAGTGAGCACGAGTTGATGATAGTCATTCATCAACTTGTTTGTATGCCAAATGACAAATAACAACAGCGACAACATAACAATATTGTTGTCAGCAAATGTAACCGCAATAACACACGAGTGCATACACCCCACTTAGTATATGTATATATAAGGGTATATTTGCATCATTTATTAAGTTACTGATCAGAATAATTGTACTTGTCTAAGAGATGGGGAAAAGTTATATATCAATGGGGTATATGCTAGCCATATATTTTATACCTGTTTTTCATCTGTGTAACTCTTTTCAAACTTTTGATTATAGTGTTTACTTATGTATACATATGTTTTCTATAAATTCATAATTTGATAGGATTTAGATAAATATAAATAAATATTATTTTAAGCTATAATATTGAAGATATAACAACAGCATCGAAATGATGCTTTTATGTTACTTTTGCAATTCCCCTTTAAGCCTTATTCGCAAACGTTTTGTGTAGATGTTAAATAAATCTGGCTCAAGTATTTCAGAGTCGGAAGTATATTTTTATTATATTAGTTATTAGTAATAGCACACTTTACACATAAATCTAATGGGTTATTGCTCACTTTTACAACCCTTTACGTGTGCCCACGTGCAATAAGCACCTATTGATAAGCACTATCATCACTAGGGCTAACTATACCTATACTTGATTTCTCTTCGGTTCTCCTCGCCAGCACCATCCCCAATTGAAGGTCATAGAACTGACCCACTGAGCACCTCAACACACACACACACACACACAGTTGTATATGCACGATGTGTTAATGTACTACAAGATGTTCTCAGGGCATATCCAGAGACCTATTAAATAGTCATTGACATTGGCATATACAAATACAGACACACATGCAGACAGAAAGACAGACAGACAAGCAGACCGCATCGCGTGATCGCGATAAGCTTGCTCATATATCGAAAAGAGTTGTAAAGACGGGATGGGTGTTGGGGGGGGGGGGGCACAATATGTTTGAATAGCCCAAGAGCAAAGAGAAATTGTAAAAAAAAAAAAAACAACAAACGCTCTTAAGTTACATTTTATGCGGGAAAACTGCTGTTGCGAAGAGAACTTTCGATTCTTGATGGTAACTGTAAATCGGTTGTACTAAACACACACACACGCACATGTATGTTGATGATGATTAAGATGATGACGATGTAGATGATGGTATATTGCGTCAGCGGATGCGCCTATGGCAGCTATGATTAAAAACATTGCATGGGATTTACTCAAATCCAAACTTATAAGCGGGAAATTTGACAAAAACAAAAAAAATATATATATATTATTAGGAATTCAATTTTATTACTAATTACTATACGTCATAAATGTATATTTATGTTTGTACACACATATTTATAACGTTTTACCCTATGCAAAGGTAGCAAGAAGACAGGAAAAAAATGAAGCACAAAAAACAAACTAGGAAAAACATGCAAAATGTGCACATCATGTTGTCCAGGTGCTATATAAATATACCTATATATGTAATATACATACATATATATATATATGTCTATGTATGTGCGAGTAGATAACTAGACAACCAAAAAAAAACGCGCTTCTTTTTTCCAAATAATATGATAAACAGGAAAAAACTAAATAAATGAAATATCAATACATATGTGTATGTGTGTGTGTGTGTGTGTGTCTGCTGGATAGTTCCGTTCAGGTAGAAGAGTTGCTGCTTTCCAAGGTGCGCTCAAAAGCAGCGAGGACTGGCCGCAAAAAAGGAGGAAAAGAAAGAGGAAGAGAAAACACGTGTACGTCACACGTTTTAGTTATAGTTATTTCCCACACCCACATATGTATGTTAAGTTATGTTAAGTTATGTTAGTTTTGTTATGTTATGTTATATTCATTATGAGTACAATAAATATGGCGTCATTCCAATACCCGAATAACATAATGGACAAGATAACAAGATTTTAAGCTGTCAATCAAAGCAAATAGATATATATATATACATATGTATACATGTATGTGTGTGTATGCTAAGTACGTATGTACTTAAACATTCCTAAAATAACATAAAAAGTGTTTCGGCAAATTGCGTTTCTTAAATAAATGATATAGGTTTTCAATATGGCGTGATAATTGTTATTTTTCTAATTGCGTATTTATTTCGCATTTCTAATATTTATTGCTAATTTCTCTCCTCATTTTATTAAGGACATTTACTCTCACTTTTTTATCTATTCAACCGTCTCTCTCTCTCTCTCTTTCTTTCTCTCTGTGTATCTTTCTATTCCATCTGGAAGCATAAAGCATGAATCATGATTGATAAAAGAATCATCATTTTGACTTTTGACAGTTTTTTCGCAATTTAATCTCGACGCAGTTTGCTAGAAAAGATAACGCATTACGTATTTATTGTAGTTGCTTTCTATGCCCTACACCAAAGGGTATTACATCTTAATTATATTAAATAATAGTATTAAAACTGGCATACATCAAATCGAATATAAATATTTACTTTTTAATTTGGGAACATATCACAAATGATAGTAAGCGAGTCACAAGTTTTAATATTTTTATTTTTTATTTCCTATTTCTGTATTATTTCAATACGAGGTACACAATGTTTGCACTCTAATGGAAAAGTACACACACAGACCAAGAACTGAACAAAGAACCAGAAAGAATTCTACGCGTAAAGAACGCTGAAAAAATAAGACGACAACAACATCAAAACGCTCAAATTGAGCTAAAAGCAATTTTTCAAAATGTTCAGGCAAAAATTTAACCGAAATTGCCGCAAATTGTTGTTGTTTTTCTTCTTTTTTTTTGCAAACCAATAAGCATAAAAAATATTGAGAAAAGCAGGCGAACAAGAAGAGAGAGAAAAAAAAAACAGTTCGTTGACGGCAAAAATATGTTGCGTCGCCAAAAAAAAAAAAAAAACTTCTGTTGCGAGCAAAAAAGTACGCGGTAGATGCCGCCGCCAGCCCCCAATTCACCTCCCTCAACCCCTCACCCTCCACCCATCCCTACACGCACATACACACACACACACACACTCAACTTAAGTTGTCTCTGCGCAGCGTTGTTTCTTCTCTTTAAAAAAATGGCCGCTCCCAACGAGCGATCGCTGCTGACGCAGACATCGACGTCAGCGTCAACGTCAACGTCAGCGTCGACAGCGCAACTGTGGCCTATACATAGAGCGAGCACAGCAGCAGAAGCTCAGTTCTTGCAGATACTCTGTGCTGTCCACAAGTTGCAATTGCACGCAAATTAATAACAAAGAGAATATTAGCAGTCCCGAATCAAGACTCCACATACATATATAATTTTATATATACATATTTTTTTTTGTCGTCTATGCAATAATTTGATTCTCCCTGTTTGCGACCCATAGAAAAAAGCGATCTTAAAACAAAGTGCAAAAGAGAAATAAAAACAGTTGACAAATACATCTATATAAAATATATAGAACATAAGCATAAGTCGTGTGTGTGCGTGTGTGAGTGTGTCGGCGAGCCGGAAAAGTGTGCAACGCTTTTCCTTACATTTGTTTTGTTTTTTATTTTCGCGCGCTCTCGCCAAACGTTTACGAACATGACGACCAAAATGGCCATAAATGCAAAGGTGAGTGGCACAAAAAAAATTAATGAATTTAAATTGGGATATGAGATATATCTCTACCAATTTTGTGGGGCTTAGTCTATCCAGCAAATATGCTTAGAGATCCTCGAAGAAGAGTTTTGCTGCCATCGAATCTTTTCATATCATTTGAATAGAAATATATACTCGTAAATATAAATCTGACTGATTTACTTTTCAAAAGGTTGAGCAACCTCAACATATATTTACAGTTTAAGTGCTGCAGTTGAAAATTTGCTCTCAACGAATGACAAAAAGAAGCTTAGATGTATATAAATATTATAAAATGTTTCAAGTTTGCTTTGTTCCCAAAAAAAAAAAAAATAATGATAATAGAAATTGGCTGCTTGCTGATAACGACAATAGTTCAACAAATGGTTCAACAATCATTAAACAAAAAAAATTAAATATATTAATTATGTATAGCAACAAGAATGGCAAACTTTGTCACAAAACGAGAATCTGTATTCCATGAAATATAGATGTGAATAAGGGCCTAGCAACAAGTCTTGATCAGCAACAACTGTGCGTAATTTTAATTGATTATATTATAATTATATATATATTTATATACACGTACATAAGTACGGTATTGTTAGTTAACAGGTTTAACTTGCCACATCTATTTTTGGAGTATTTTTTCTATCAAAACAAGCTAAAATTGTTAGAGAGAAACAACTAGCTTAAAGTGCAATCAAAACAATCTTTATACAATTTTTAATAGCTTCAAAAGATAACAGACTAACTTAAAAAGAAAAACATTTTTTCCAAGTCTAGACATATAATTGTTGTAGGGATGTAATTTCTCTGATTAGCTTTTGAAATTGTTTTTCTTGTTTTTTTTTATACATTTTTGGGTTATTTGTAAATGTTTAGACAACAAACAAGTTGATTTTAGTGATTAGACTTATCTGCTGATTTGCTTTCTGATAAGCCCGCCAGCAGTGTACCTCTTGCCACACAACTCCCTTCACAAACAACTCCCTTTGTGGCATGTGCCACCACAAGAATGTAATGAATGTCGCAGACAATCCGGCTCCGATTTGGGTCTGGGGTCAACAGACAGACAACAGTCGTTTTTTAGTTTTCTGTTTTGAGTTTGTGCTTGAGCTAGTTTCTTCTAGTTTTTTTTCGTTTCGATTCGATTTCAACTCGTTTTCAATTTCATTCAGTTTTTTTTTATTTTTAGTTTTTTTTTCGTTTTTTGTTTGTATTTATTTGGCTGATGCAATGGGTCTGTCAAGTTTCACAGTTTTGTTTTCGATTTCGATTTCAAATTTTCTTTCTTGTTATTTTGTGGTTTTCCGGCATGAAGACATTGTCTCAACTATTTCATCATAATATTTATTAGTTTAGATTATTTGTTTGGTCATCTAAACTATTTAGCAGCACATCTCAACTTGTTATTGAAATCTTTTTGATTGCATCTTTTGATTAGCTCTGTTGCTGGATGATTTATATATTTAGTTGTTAAGTTGTCAGTCAAGATTACAAAAATAGTTAACACCTGCTAAATAATAATATGATGACTCGGTGAAATATTTAAATATTTCAAATGCAATTTCAAAAAGGAAGAACATAATGATTAAATAATAAAATAATAAGTATTCAAATCAGATATTAAATCAGTCAAAGACCAACATCTCTCATGGCGAAAACATTATATATTTTTAAAAACTCAAATTCAAATTAAATGATATAAAATTAAAAGTGCATAATTAAATTTCAAATTTAAAATGAAATAAATAAATTTAATAAACAATACAAAAATATAAGAAATCTGGGAGTATTCAAAATAGAGAAATTTAGAGAGAGAGAAAAAGATGGGGAGATAAATAATGAGAGAGACAATAAAGAAGATGTAGGCAATCTGACTTAAGCTTTGGAACAAGCCAAACTTAAAGGTTTCTTGATGAAACCAGTGACATATCCTCTTGCCTTATCGGAATCGAACTGCTATATGGCTGCCATAGGAACGATCGCCTTGATAACTTTATCAAGTTGTTCGAACCAAATTCATCAGTTGTGCATTTCTTAATACTTTACTATCAATCATATAGTTGATATATAGTAATAATCGGTTATCGATTCGCAATTATCGATTCTATCTACTGAATATATATTCCAAGTTCTATGTACAGACCCCAAGACTCTAGCTTGGGCGTTCCAAAACAAAAAAAACCAATATACTCTTTTATGCCTTCGATATCAATCATAGTACAAAGAATTAGATCAATTATGGTGCTCATGCATATGAAATCAGTTTGAAATGGACTTCTGTCAGTGCGCACTTTATGGCTTTAACTGGCAATCGAAGGGCAACGATTCCACTTGGTGTCAACAGTCAAAAGTCAATGCATTTGGCTAATCGGGCTAATCAATATAAGATAATGATATGCTAATGGCATTGAATTAGTTACGATCCGATCTATTGTATAACTTTTGCATCACAGAATTGGTCATTTGGAATTAGAGCTGTCCGTGGCCCAGATTACGCAGTACGCAGTACGCAGTAGTACGCATTTTATATATACATATATATATATATATAGTTAGAAGATATACGTATATGTATATGTATGTATGCACCTGATACATAGCATTAAAGACAATGCAATTGGCTAAGCGTCGACTTTTGGGGTTGTTGAACGACTCAACGAACAAACAGTTGTCATATGTCATATAGAGTATAGAGTATATATATGTATATACATGAATGTATATGTATAGTCGGCCTCTTCTCCTTGCTACTCTATTTAAATGCAAATACATTTGAGGGACTTTAGATTCGAGTTCGCATTCATTGTATTCGTAATTCATATGCGGAAATTATTCGACTCAAATAAACGAGAAACGTGAAAGTAAGTTGAAGAAGAGGCTGAAGAAACAGGTGTAATTCTTTATCAAAAAAAAATATATATATATTTCCTAATAATAGATAATATGTCTAAAAAGTCGAAATGCAAAACCATTGGGATAGATCTAGATTGATCGTGATTGATCGAGATTGACTTATCGAGATTGTCTATAGGAAACAGAAGTAAACGGCGTGTATTAATCAATCGAATCGTCGTTTCATCTTTTCATCAGGATATATTCCGCAATCAGCATCGTTTGATACGCTTCATCGAGCAATCGATTCGCCTGTGCAGCAACCAATCTCTGAAGGCGGCCCAGCAACAGCAGCAGCAGGAGAAGAGCACGACGGCTGACTTTGAGATTAGTGCGTCGGTGAATACACAATATACACATGCACCGGAACCGATCAAGCACAATAAGGATCTGGGTGATCTGTTCAAGGCATCACAGATGTCGGTGCGTCTGGCGACGCCGCAACAATTGCACACAAAACCGGATAACGATGAGGAACTGGGATTTGGCAAACTCTTCACGGATCACATGCTCAAGATCTACTATCACAAGAGCTTGGGCGGCTGGCAAAAGCCAGAGATAACGCCACTCGAGAATCTAGTCATGCATCCGGCCGCCAAGGTGCTACACTATGCCGTCGAGGTAAGTGCCAATCCCAAACAAGATCATCAATCTCCAAATAGTCCCATCCACACCGAAAGGTCTAGGCATGAAAATACTTTTTCGATACGATTTCCTTTCACAATGTCCAGTTGTGTCCGTCTGTCTATCCGTCTGTGTCTTCAGATTTTTAATATAAGCTTGAACAGCCTCGGTTTCGATTCGAATTTCCTGAAAGAAATGCTGATATTGTTAACCAAAACGTATTTTCCAATTGACCAAACTACTCGAAGCAATTCTAATCAGTATTTGTCACGTGCAGAGCATTCTGACTTGGTCCCTCTGTGCATTGTTATCACTTATGACAACATCATCATCCGCATCCACATCCACATCCACATCCTCTGCTATGGGTTCTGATTCGTATTTGGTGGCCCATCGTTGCAGCTCTTTGAAGGCATGAAAGCGTATCGTGGAGTCGATGGCAAAATTCGCATCTTCCGGCCCGACATGAATATGGCCCGAATGAATTTGGCCGCCCAGCGTTCCGGCTTGCCCACCTTTGAGGGCAAAGAGTTTGTCAAGTGCCTGTCCCGTCTGCTCTCAATTGACTCGGAGTGGGTGCCCCACACGGAGGCCGCCAGCTTATACATACGCCCCACACTGATTGGCATCGATGTGAGTATCCAAATATATTTTGGCTTGATTTTCCAGTTGCTTATTGCCTGTATTGCTCCTCCACTCTTTAGCCCACATTAGGTGTTGCTTCCTCAGATTCGGCGCTGCTTTATTCCATACTCAGTCCGGTGGGCAGCTACTTTAAGACGGGCTCGGGCGATGGCGCCGTTTCCTTGCTGGCAGATCCCAGCTACACACGTGCCTGGCCAGGCGGTGTTGGCAATCGCAAAATGGGCTCCAATTACGCACCCACGATCAATGTACAAAATGAGGCGGCCGCACGTGGTTTGCAGCAGGTGCTCTGGCTGTACGGTGAGGATCATCAGCTGACCGAAGTGGGCACCATGAACATATTCATGTTCTATATCAATGACCAAGGAGGTAAGTCTCTAAGCCTCTACATTAAGTATCCCATCGGTGAATGATTGAAACTTAACTTTAAATTTGAATCTTTCCTACGATTTCAATTTTAAAGAAACATATTCGGTTCATAAATGTCGAGTGCCATATTTATATAAAGATTAAGCTTAATTATATCAACTATTTATAGCAAGAACATATTGTATATTTGTGTGCATAATACAAACTTTAACAAACTTGTCATGTTCAATCTATTTGCAGAACAAGAACTGATAACACCGCCCCTAAACGGTCTAATCCTGCCCGGCATCACACGTGACTCCATTTTGGCGATGGCCCGACAATGGGGCAAGTTCAAGGTGCGCGAGAGCGTCTTCACCATGCCCATGGTCAGCGAACTTCTCAACCAGGGACGCGTAAGTGTTTTCTTATCTCAACTACCCTCAATCCAAACACCAACCAGCAATTTTCCTAAACTATACTAACTGTGTGTGTTTTGTTGTGTTGTGCTTGCTTACAGCTGCTGGAACTGTTTGGCACGGGCACCGCCTGCGTGGTTAGTCCGATCAATAGGATCAATTACATGGACCAGGACCTGTATATACCCACAATGGAGCAGGAGAAACCGGTGCATGAGCTGATACGTGACACGCTCACGGATATACAATACGGCAAGGTGGATCATCCCTGGTCGATGGTGATTGACTAAATGCCACCAACAACAGCACGTGATGAAACCACAAAACCACAACTCAACCCAACTAACCCAAGTTGTGTATTAGTAGGTTATAGTTCCAACAGTTTCTTCCTTGGGTTGCCGATGTGCTCGAATTTTCTGTTTGTTGCATTTAAATCTATCTATCTGCATATATATATACATTTTATATATAAGTTAAAGGCTGGGCCTATCAGCCATGCTACATTTATAGCTACTATATATATATATATATATATATATATATATATTTATATATATACCACTCTGTACAAGTCGCACTTGATTTTTAATTTATAATTTATTTATGCCAGGTCTTTTTTTTTTGTCCAATATACTAAATATTTTTTGTAGTTTAGTTTGTTTTTGTAATTGACTTAATTCAGTTCAGATCAGAACGGAGTCGAATAACGATTTCATAAAATTTATGAATGTTTTTTTTTTTGCATGCTTTTACTTCCTTCTAAAGCAAAAGAAAATCGAGTCAAAAAAATAAATAAAAATACAAACAATAGAAAATAATTTAATTAATAGCCAAAGTCTAAGGAACTGCCCCATATGCAAAAAAAAAAAGAATAAACTATGAAAAAAACACTTATATATAAAAAAAGAAACACAACAATCTAAAACCAAATTCATTTTGGAAACGTACCGGAGGCAAATGCATTTATTAGTCAGTAAGTTGCCAGAGTCGAATCCAAGTTAAGCATTAATCGCATTTCTGGAAAAATGTATAAATGTATCTTTAAATATATTGTTCGAGATTGGAGGTAAAAGCGGCCTGGAGAGCTGCAGAGCAAGCTGTGACTAAACTATTGTACCCTAGTTCTTAGACAAAATTGTTGTATGTTGCATACAATACCCTATACGATAATAAAACAAATACTATATGTATACGAACATAAAACTTAATCATACAAACACAAATACAAATAAAATTACAAATACAAATACAAATACAATTTTGACTATTGGCCTATAATATAGGGGCAGAGCAGACAATATCGAGCTCTGATTTTGCATGGATCTCCTTCAATATAGGCGACAATCGATCGCTCGAACGCTCGGCTCAATTCCAACAAAATCAAAGCCATATCAGTATATGATTATGAATATGATTGGGAATATGATTGTGGATGCAGTGCCTCGCAAGCATGCAATGGCATCCTCACCATCATCATCGTTAAACGGCTCGTCTCCCTCGCTGCGACGACTGCGGCTCTCGGAATCGAATGGCGGCATTGCTCCCATCGATCCTGTTGATCTCTCTGCAGGCGCCTCAGCCTCGACGCCATTGACATCGGACGACGCACCAACAGTTTGTTCTCCAGCAGAAAGTTGCGCTGACCTTGACCCATCCACATACGGAATAAAGAATAGAAATATATATAAAAGTCACAGCAGTATAATGGAAAACAGATCTGAATAGTGTAAACAGGAAATGTGAATGAAATTCAAGTTGAATACAAAAACAAAAAGAAAAAAATTATAGAAAACAGTCACCTCAAAAAACTGAATACCCGGAATTGAATCAGAATCCGGAGCCGGAATCGGACCCGGACCCGTAACCACAAACGAAAGCACAGCTCAGAGAGAGAGTATCAATAGAGATACGCTGGAATCAATAAATATATATAGAATAATATATTTATGGTTATACATACACCTACACACACAAACAACACACAACCACACACACACACAACAAGAACTTAAAGGAAAACACATTATTAAATGATAAACTCAGCATTCAGTGTAATTTTTTAATAGTTAATAAAAATATCCTCTTTTTTTCAATTGCAAACTCATTTTTTTAAGTACATCTTTGTAAATATATATTTATAAAGAAAACGGGCAACAAATTGTTGTACTTACAAACATAATTTTCGTATTTCTCATTTCTATCTTAATAAAAACAATAGTTTGTGATTTTATAGAATATATTAAGTTCAGTCCTTGCAATTTGCACTCTTACATTTAGCAAATATTTGAACAAATTTAGTCGCATTAACATTAAAAGAAAAGATCACAAACACGTTAATTGAAATAGTTGGCAAGTCGATAATATATATACTACACGGGAGGAGAGATGGCATCGCTTAAAAGAACTTCTCTTTGACTGACGGCGTATCCAAGTGTAGCTGCAAGTTTCTGCGAGAGAGAGGGGGAGAGAAAAAGTGAATATTTGTATTTAAAGATGAATCATTTGGTTAGATAACTACCTGGGCAGCTTTAAGCAGGTGCGCTCAGAGGGACTGCAGGGGGAGGAGCTGGCCACCAGCTTTGGAGATGAAAGCAGCACACCCCCGTTCTTCTCATCTGGGACCGAGGTGTTCGGCATCGCATTCTCCTTGTTGACAGGATTCTGACAACTGTCTCGGCATTTACAATAGTCGTTGCAGCTGTTGCCCGCTGAATAACAGCCACAGCGTTTTGAACTGCAACTTGTGGTGCAGGAACAGTGCTTCAGCTGGCTGCTGTTGCTCTTGTTGTTCGTGCTGGTGTTGCTCCTGCTGCTGTTTGCAGTGTGTTTAATATTGCTATTGGTACTAGCAATGGGATTGGGATTCGAAGTGTCGCTGTCGATGCACGGCTGTCTCAGAGAATTCGATTTCTGTGTGGAAAGTGGGAAAATAGTTAAAAGAGCTACTTCTTAGGGATGCAAAGGAGGACTTGCCTTGGAGCGCTTCTTTGCTGGTACCCAGTCGGGATCGCTGTCCATATTATTGTCCTCAATGGATTCATCGCTAATGTTGAGCAATGATTCGTTCCCAACTGCTTCAACTGCGTATTTATCTTCACCTGCGCCTTTTTTGTGCTTCTTCGACAAATTCGCTTTGGACGTGAGGAGGTCGAGCTGCTGTTGCAACGCTTCCTTGGAGCTAAGCAGCTCCTCAACGATCTGCTGTTGGGCCAGATCACCGCCGCGCAGTAGCATCGCCATCTTCTCTTCATAGCTGCGCTTCTCATTGAGCATCTGCTGCTCGTACCGGCACTCGGCGATTCGAAACTGTTCGGTCAGTTTCTCGATACGCAGCGAAGCCTCTTTATGATGATGCAGCAGCATCATGCGCTCCATGGTGCACTGCGCCTGTTCGCGTCGCTGCTGGACGAGCATCTTCAACACCTTGCTGCTGATGACACGCGCCTCTCCAAGGCTATGAACATTTTCACAGACTGCCGACAGACGACTGTCCAGGTCGTTAAAGCACACCTTCTGCTGCAGATCCGCAATTTGCGCATTGCGCATTTCCAGCTCCTCCTCCAAGCTGGCTAACTGTGAAGCCTGGTAAGCTGCCTCCTCTTGATCCGGTTCCTGCCGTTCCTTGATTTGCATGCACTGCGCATTGATCGCCGCCCGATCCTCCATTAGCTGCTCCAGACTGTGCTCGGCATCGACCAACGAGAGTATAACCTCCACTTCCCGATCCATCAACGCATCTAGCTTGCCAGCATCAGCCGTCTGATTCTTGGCATGTCGCTGACGTTGCGCCTGCGCAGATCTCTGACGCTCCAGCGCATCCTTCAGCCTTCAATAAAAAGAACGACAACGAGAAATATATTTGTAATAATTACATATATGGATTGGCTGATCTTACCGCTTGTTAACGGCCATTGCGTCCTCGCACTTGCGCTTGAGCACCAGGCGCTGATTGTCGTAGAGGTTCTTCTGGCGGACCAGTTCGCTCTGCATTTTCCTGTCTTTGCTCTTCAGCTGGGTCATCTGCTTCTCGCTTAGCATTTTGGATTGGCGGAACCGCTCGGATTCTTCGCGCATGGCGCGGATCAGTTTTACCTTGGACTCCTTCATGGCACGGATCTCGGTGCTGAGGTTCTTGATCTTCTCGCTCTCCTTTTCGCGCATCTTGAGCATGTTGCCCTGCTGGACGATCTTGCGCCGCATATCCGTCAGCTCATGCTCGAGCAACTGCAGCCGCTTGCGTCGCTCCTCGGCCAGCTTGGCGGAGATCTCCTTCTGTTTAGTGATGCGCAGCTGCTCCATCAGTTCGCGACGCTCCGATTCGAGCTGCTCTACCTTCACCTGGTACTCCTTCAACTTCTCATCGTTGCCTTCCTCGTCCAACCGTCTGAAGTTCAGAGCGACGCGATCGTGCAGTTCCTGCTTCAGATCCAGCTGACTATTGATTTGGCGCAGTTTAACATTAAGATCCAGCTGCTTCGTAGTGTGCTCATTTATCTCCTCGCTGCTGCCCAAATTGGACTCCACGCTGCTGCTACTGCTGGCGCCGGCAGTGAGGCACTCCTTCCGATGAGTCTGCAGGGCGATTTCTGTTTGTTTCAGCTCCTCATCCACTCCGCTGACCAGCTGTACAACATCGCGCAAATGCTGCTTCAGCACGGATTGCTCCTCCTCCTCCTCCTCCTCCCCCTGTTCCTGCCCTTCCATACTCAGCTGTTGTGCCTCGCCCAACTTAGTCATCAACTCAAGTACGCTCGCCTTGACCTTGTCGTGGTTCACCTCCGTTATGTGTGCCTGCATTTCCTTATCGGCCAGATTGAGCAACGCCTCCTGTAGCTCCTTTTGCAATTGACGATTATGCTGCTTGGCCTCTTGCAGCTGCTCACTTATCCGCTGATTCTCCAGCGCCGAATTACGTGACAGTCCAGAGCCATTCTCAACACCTGCTCCCACGCTGCCGCTGTCGGCACCTCGAGCCAGCAGCTCGATGCGCAGCTTTTGTACTGTTTCCTTGAGCATCATCACCTCAGCCACATGCGGATCGACATTCACCACCGGCTTATTCTTAATTTGTAGCGCACGATCCGCATATTGCAGCGTGCTGATTGTCTCGGCCACGTTGTAATCTGCCGGACTAACGCAGGCGATCATCAATGTTATCGAATTGCCACCCAAGGACTCCTGCAACCATCGCGTCAGCTTCGACTGCCGATATGGCACATAGGCAGCACTTTCTCCAGCTGCAACAAAACAAACACTTAAATCATTGATGAACTTAATCAATATGTTTTCTGTGTGTATACTGCAGAGCCCCGTTACGATTGGGTGTACGTATATATGTATGTAGAGAGCGCACTTGCAGACCTGCTCACATTTTGGTGCAAAACTTTTAAATGGAAATTTTCCAATAAAACTAGAATATATTTAACAACTGGGTTCAGGGTAAATCGAAGTCGAGCTCACTCGACTACAGCACTCTTCCTTGTTTTATATTAGTATCATTAGGTCAACAGATATATTTGATATTGATTTATAAAGTATTGATTGTAACAGTATCTTATATTATTCCACAATGAGAAACCAACCATTTGCTGTTTTGCAGAATTGAGTTTTTCTTCGTACTGAAGATTTTTAAGAGCGATCGATTTTTAGCAGTCTAATTTTTGACAAGCCCCACTTTTTTCATTATAAAATGAGCCATATTTTTATATATCATAGCTTTTAAATAACCAAACACAATAATTTATTATTTTTTTATCAGTAAACTATAAGCCCAAAACAGAAAATAAACAAAAGGAATAGGTTAACTAAAAAGGGGGTCTGTGGAGATACATTGCAGAGTAAAATATAGTAAAAGGAATCGAAAGGATTATAAAAGCAGTTATAAAAATATTACTTACAGCCCAGCACATTTATGACATTTCCCAGGGCGAGCAGGCCCTTGTTGATGTTGACGCCCTCCTTGAAGCGATCACCAGAAGTCATCGTCTTCGCGCACCTTTCCGATCCGGCCAAATCAACCAAATGAAATTTCGATTTGATCACAGATTTCCTGCATAATACAATGATAACATATTCAACATATCTGCGTATGGATGGATTTAGCATCGAGTGAACTTACTGGCCAGTCTTTTGTTTTGCCACCACCGATAGAGTGAAAATGGCGTGAGACCGTGAGGAACTTTCGTTCATCGCCGTAGAGGCAACGGCGCGACCCGAGGAGCCGCGCATTAGCTCACTCGCCACCTGTTTGGCACCGGTCACTTCCACCTCGGTGAGTCCACGCATAAAAATTCCATTTTTATCCTCACGTATGTCGACAATGCTGTCCTCCCGCCTGTTCGGTGAGAACAGGTCGTAGAACTGCTCTTGGTACAACTCGACGAAGGAACAGGTGATCCTAAAATCACACTGCTCCGCCATGGCGACCGTCTTTTCAAAGATTTCGTTGACAGCCCTCGGAATAATGCCAGCATGCTCGCCCATACTGCCATTAAAAGCGGTGCCCATAGTATAAGTCTTTCCAGACCCGGTCTGGCCATAAGCGAGTATTGTTAAATTGAAACCATCGAGCAGCTTCTTCAGCCTACTGGCTACACACGTCTCGTACACATCCTCCTGACTGTCCCCGCAGTCGAACACATAATTGTACGTAAATGCTTTGTTATTCACTATTACCTGGGGAACTCCAGCGTCGGGACGCTGCACTGCCATACGGCAGCCGCGGTCCTCCTCCGATTTGACAAGTGGGCGCAAGCGCAATGCCACTGCTACTGAGTCGGTCATGCTGAAACTGGATGTACCTGCCAATAAATACAACAGTTGAGATTTTAAAGTAGCTAAAGCCAAAAGAAAATTACAGTCAACCTAATAACTGCACATGCCGCCATACTTTGAAACAAACTGCAATTTATAAACTATATAACTTTAGTTGCATTACCTTTTTCTTGGTGTGACTTGAAGAAATTGCGAAATTCAAGTGACTGTAGAGAATAGTATACAATTGGATAACGAAAAAGCACCACACAACTTAAGGGCAGTCAAATAATTGACAAAAAGATTGTTGCACACGAAAAGTTTAAAATGATTGCAGCGGCGGCGTCAGTCGAATGCAGCTTTGCAAAACGATTTTTGTGTCCAAACTCGCAGAAAGAAATTAGTGCTAGACAGTGACGATGGTTTCCAGCGATAAGAAATATCGATTACAATTTCCTTAGTCAAGCACGCTTAAGCCCAGCTTAGAGATCGACGAAAAATTTCACGAGCGAAATTTGCAATATATTTCGTTTTTGGAACCTAATAACAAGAAGTCTGCTTAGAGGCACAAATGTAATAAATTAATTTTCTTACCTTTCCAGCGTTTATAAGTACATTTTTTTTTAACTTTTCATAATTTAATATTTTCTATTTCGATGGACTTGCAGTTACTATGGCGGCACGGTTTTTTCATATTTATTTTCATTATCGATAACTTTGTTTTGATTTGTAACGTTGACTTAAAAACGAAATTCCAATCGATATTTCTTATCGCTGGCACTAATTTCTTTCTGCGAGTTTGTGCACAAAAATCGTTTTGCAAAGCTGCATTTGACTGACGCCGCCGCTGCAATCACTTTAAACTTTTCGTGTGCAACAATCTTTGTGTCAATTATTTGACTGCCCTTAAGTTGTGTGGTGCTTTTTCGTTATCCAATTGTATACTATTCTCTACAGTCACTTCAATTTCGCAATTTCTTCAAGTCACACCAAGAAAAAGGTAATGCAACTAAAGTTATATAGTTTATAAATTGCAGTTTGTTTCAAAGTATGGCGGCATGTGCAGTTATTAGGTTGACTGTAATTTTCTTTTGGCTTTAGCTACTTTAAAATCTCAACTGTTGTATTTATTGGCAGGTACATCCAGTTTCAGCATGACCGACTCAGTAGCAGTGGCATTGCGCTTGCGCCCACTTGTCAAATCGGAGGAGGACCGCGGCTGCCGTATGGCAGTGCAGCGTCCCGACGCTGGAGTTCCCCAGGTAATAGTGAATAACAAAGCATTTACGTACAATTATGTGTTCGACTGCGGGGACAGTCAGGAGGATGTGTACGAGACGTGTGTAGCCAGTAGGCTGAAGAAGCTGCTCGATGGTTTCAATTTAACAATACTCGCTTATGGCCAGACCGGGTCTGGAAAGACTTATACTATGGGCACCGCTTTTAATGGCAGTATGGGCGAGCATGCTGGCATTATTCCGAGGGCTGTCAACGAAATCTTTGAAAAGACGGTCGCCATGGCGGAGCAGTGTGATTTTAGGATCACCTGTTCCTTCGTCGAGTTGTACCAAGAGCAGTTCTACGACCTGTTCTCACCGAACAGGCGGGAGGACAGCATTGTCGACATACGTGAGGATAAAAATGGAATTTTTATGCGTGGACTCACCGAGGTGGAAGTGACCGGTGCCAAACAGGTGGCGAGTGAGCTAATGCGCGGCTCCTCGGGTCGCGCCGTTGCCTCTACGGCGATGAACGAAAGTTCCTCACGGTCTCACGCCATTTTCACTCTATCGGTGGTGGCAAAACAAAAGACTGGCCAGTAAGTTCACTCGATGCTAAATCCATCCATACGCAGATATGTTGAATATGTTATCATTGTATTATGCAGGAAATCTGTGATCAAATCGAAATTTCATTTGGTTGATTTGGCCGGATCGGAAAGGTGCGCGAAGACGATGACTTCTGGTGATCGCTTCAAGGAGGGCGTCAACATCAACAAGGGCCTGCTCGCCCTGGGAAATGTCATAAATGTGCTGGGCTGTAAGTAATATTTTTATAACTGCTTTTATAATCCTTTCGATTCCTTTTACTATATTTTACTCTGCAATGTATCTCCACAGACCCCCTTTTTTGTTAACCTATTCCTTTTGTTTATTTTCTGTTTTGGGCTTATAGTTTACTGATAAAAAAAAATAAATTATTGTGTTTGGTTATTTAAAAAAATAATGAAAAAAGTGGGGCTTGTCAAAAATTAGACTGCTAAAAATCGATCGCTCTTAAAAATCTTCAGTACGAAGAAAAACTCAATTCTGCAAAACAGCAAATGGTTGGTTTCTCATTGTGGAATAATATAAGATACTGTTACAATCAATACTTTATAAATCAATATCAAATATATCTGTTGACCTAATGATACTAATATAAAACAAGGAAGAGTGCTGTAGTCGAGTGAGCTCGACTTCGATTTACCCTGAACCCAGTTGTTAAATATATTCTAGTTTTATTGGAAAATTTCCATTTAAAAGTTTTGCACCAAAATGTGAGCAGGTCTGCAAGTGCGCTCTCTACATACATATATACGTACACCCAATCGTAACGGGGCTCTGCAGTATACACACAGAAAACATATTGATTAAGTTCATCAATGATTTAAGTGTTTGTTTTGTTGCAGCTGGAGAAAGTGCTGCCTATGTGCCATATCGGCAGTCGAAGCTGACGCGATGGTTGCAGGAGTCCTTGGGTGGCAATTCGATAACATTGATGATCGCCTGCGTTAGTCCGGCAGATTACAACGTGGCCGAGACAATCAGCACGCTGCAATATGCGGATCGTGCGCTACAAATTAAGAATAAGCCGGTGGTGAATGTCGATCCGCATGTGGCTGAGGTGATGATGCTCAAGGAAACAGTACAAAAGCTGCGCATCGAACTGCTGGCTCGAGGTGCCGACAGCGGCAGCGTGGGAGCAGGTGTTGAGAATGGCTCTGGACTGTCACGTAATTCGGCGCTGGAGAATCAGCGGATAAGTGAGCAGCTGCAAGAGGCCAAGCAGCATAATCGTCAATTGCAAAAGGAGCTACAGGAGGCGTTGCTCAATCTGGCCGATAAGGAAATGCAGGCACACATAACGGAGGTGAACCACGACAAGGTCAAGGCGAGCGTACTTGAGTTGATGACTAAGTTGGGCGAGGCACAACAGCTGAGTATGGAAGGGCAGGAACAGGGGGGAGGAGGAGGAGGAGGAGGAGCAATCCGTGCTGAAGCAGCATTTGCGCGATGTTGTACAGCTGGTCAGCGGAGTGGATGAGGAGCTGAAACAAACAGAAATCGCCCTGCAGACTCATCGGAAGGAGTGCCTCACTGCCGGCGCCAGCAGTAGCAGCAGCGTGGAGTCCAATTTGGGCAGCAGCGAGGAGATAAATGAGCACACTACGAAGCAGCTGGATCTTAATGTTAAACTGCGCCAAATCAATAGTCAGCTGGATCTGAAGCAGGAACTGCACGATCGCGTCGCTCTGAACTTCAGACGGTTGGACGAGGAAGGCAACGATGAGAAGTTGAAGGAGTACCAGGTGAAGGTAGAGCAGCTCGAATCGGAGCGTCGCGAACTGATGGAGCAGCTGCGCATCACTAAACAGAAGGAGATCTCCGCCAAGCTGGCCGAGGAGCGACGCAAGCGGCTGCAGTTGCTCGAGCATGAGCTGACGGATATGCGGCGCAAGATCGTCCAGCAGGGCAACATGCTCAAGATGCGCGAAAAGGAGAGCGAGAAGATCAAGAACCTCAGCACCGAGATCCGTGCCATGAAGGAGTCCAAGGTAAAACTGATCCGCGCCATGCGCGAAGAATCCGAGCGGTTCCGCCAATCCAAAATGCTAAGCGAGAAGCAGATGACCCAGCTGAAGAGCAAAGACAGGAAAATGCAGAGCGAACTGGTCCGCCAGAAGAACCTCTACGACAATCAGCGCCTGGTGCTCAAGCGCAAGTGCGAGGACGCAATGGCCGTTAACAAGCGGTAAGATCAGCCAATCCATATATGTAATTATTACAAATATATTTCTCGTTGTCGTTCTTTTTATTGAAGGCTGAAGGATGCGCTGGAGCGTCAGAGATCTGCGCAGGCGCAACGTCAGCGACATGCCAAGAATCAGACGGCTGATGCTGGCAAGCTAGATGCGTTGATGGATCGGGAAGTGGAGGTTATACTCTCGTTGGTCGATGCCGAGCACAGTCTGGAGCAGCTGATGGAGGATCGGGCGGCGATCAATGCGCAGTGCATGCAAATCAAGGAACGGCAGGAACCGGATCAAGAGGAGGCAGCTTACCAGGCTTCACAGTTAGCCAGCTTGGAGGAGGAGCTGGAAATGCGCAATGCGCAAATTGCGGATCTGCAGCAGAAGGTGTGCTTTAACGACCTGGACAGTCGTCTGTCGGCAGTCTGTGAAAATGTTCATAGCCTTGGAGAGGCGCGTGTCATCAGCAGCAAGGTGTTGAAGATGCTCGTCCAGCAGCGACGCGAACAGGCGCAGTGCACCATGGAGCGCATGATGCTGCTGCATCATCATAAAGAGGCTTCGCTGCGTATCGAGAAACTGACCGAACAGTTTCGAATCGCCGAGTGCCGGTACGAGCAGCAGATGCTCAATGAGAAGCGCAGCTATGAAGAGAAGATGGCGATGCTACTGCGCGGCGGTGATCTGGCCCAACAGCAGATCGTTGAGGAGCTGCTTAGCTCCAAGGAAGCGTTGCAACAGCAGCTCGACCTCCTCACGTCCAAAGCGAATTTGTCGAAGAAGCACAAAAAAGGCGCAGGTGAAGATAAATACGCAGTTGAAGCAGTTGGGAACGAATCATTGCTCAACATTAGCGATGAATCCATTGAGGACAATAATATGGACAGCGATCCCGACTGGGTACCAGCAAAGAAGCGCTCCAAGGCAAGTCCTCCTTTGCATCCCTAAGAAGTAGCTCTTTTAACTATTTTCCCACTTTCCACACAGAAATCGAATTCTCTGAGACAGCCGTGCATCGACAGCGACACTTCGAATCCCAATCCCATTGCTAGTACCAATAGCAATATTAAACACACTGCAAACAGCAGCAGGAGCAACACCAGCACGAACAACAAGAGCAACAGCAGCCAGCTGAAGCACTGTTCCTGCACCACAAGTTGCAGTTCAAAACGCTGTGGCTGTTATTCAGCGGGCAACAGCTGCAACGACTATTGTAAATGCCGAGACAGTTGTCAGAATCCTGTCAACAAGGAGAATGCGATGCCGAACACCTCGGTCCCAGATGAGAAGAACGGGGGTGTGCTGCTTTCATCTCCAAAGCTGGTAGCCAGCTCCTCCCCCTGCAGTCCCTCTGAGCGCACCTGCTTAAAGCTGCCCAGGTAGTTATCTAACCAAAAGATTCATCTTTAAATACAAATATTCACTTTTTCTCTCCCCCTCTCTCTCGCAGAAACTTGCAGCTACACTTAGATACGCCGTCAGTCAAAGAGAAGTTCTTTTAAGCGATGTCATCTCTCCTCCCGTGTAGTATATATATTATCGACTTGCCAACTATTTCAATTAACGTGTTTGTGATCTTTTCTTTTAATGTTAATGCGACTAAATTTGTTCAAATATTTGCTAAATGTAAGAGTGCAAATTGCAAGGACTGAACTTAATATATTCTATAAAATCACAAACTATTGTTTTTATTAAGATAGAAATGAGAAATACGAAAATTATGTTTGTAAGTACAACAATTTGTTGCCCGTTTTCTTTATAAATATATATTTACAAAGATGTACTTAAAAAAATGTGTTTGCAATTGAAAAAAAGAGGATATTTTTATTAACTATTAAAAAATTACACTGAATGCTGAGTTTATCATTTAATAATGTGTTTTCCTTTAAGTTCTTGTTGTGTGTGTGTGTGGTTGTGTGTTGTTTGTGTGTGTAGGTGTATGTATAACCATAAATATATTATTCTATATATATTTATTGATTCCAGCGTATCTCTATTGATACTCTCTCTCTGAGCTGTGCTTTCGTTTGTGGTTACGGGTCCGGGTCCGATTCCGGCTCCGGATTCTGATTCAATTCCGGGTATTCAGTTTTTTGAGGTGACTGTTTTCTATAATTTTTTTCTTTTTGTTTTTGTATTCAACTTGAATTTCATTCACATTTCCTGTTTACACTATTCAGATCTGTTTTCCATTATACTGCTGTGACTTTTATATATATTTCTATTCTTTATTCCGTATGTGGATGGGTCAAGGTCAGCGCAACTTTCTCCTGGAGAACAAACTGTTGGTGCGTCGTCCGATGCCAATGGCGTCGAGGCTGGGGCGCCTGCAGAGAGATCAACAGGATCGATGGGAGCAATGCCGCCATTCGATTCCGAGAGCCGCTTCGCAGGCGCGTCTGATTGAGACACAGCGGCGTGTGCCCAGTGGTAGACGCCAGGTGGGAGTAACTCGTGGCCGCCAGCCGCAATCGCAGGAGAAGCAAATACAAACAGAGGATATTTGGGACGAGCAGTTCCTGAATGCGGCGCTGCTCAAATGCTGTCGTCGCAGCGAGGGAGACGAGCCGTTCAACGATGATGATGGTGAGGATGCCATTGCACGCTTACGGGGCACTGCATCCAATTTTGAGATGGGCAGATTTGCCGCTATGCAACACAAACGGTGGTTGCTGGATGCCCGCGGCTTGAAGAAAAAAGATTACGATAAAGAGGAGGGGGAGAAGAAGCACCGGCAAGTGGTGCTACAGCTTGCCATACCGGACATCACCGATGTGGAGCAGGAGCCACAACTGGACCAGTCCTTGAGTGCCCATTCAAATGCCTCCAGCTATGAAATGCCGCCCACAAAAGTAACTGCAGCTGCTTCCGCTGCTGCTGCTGCAGATGATGTGAGCTCGCTGCACGTGCAGCACGTGCAGGAGCAAGAGCGGGAGCAGGAGCAGCAACGCGTCGCTTTGCTCGGAGCGGCGCAGGCGCGCCATAGGGAGCTGATCTGGGAGTACAATCGATTACCATTGTCGATGGGCACGCTGCGTGTGCGCAGGCTAAAGACGCAACTGGAACAGCAGCTTGACCGGATTGACAGTGATCTGTGCATGCTGAATTTGCCGATATATCACCATCGGCAGGCGCGATCAGTGACAGCAAATCTTTAGTACATTTAGTGCGGTGTTCTTTTGCCTTGAATCCAGCATTAAGCCCACTTTATGGACGAAAAATTGCATTATATTCCACTTGCGGAACATAAAAACAAAAAGGTCTGCTGAAAATTAAAATTATTTTTGATTCACAATTTACTACTTCCATTTCGATGAACTTGCCGCTTCTGTGGTGGTTTGCCGATAACCGCTGTTAGAATATATGAAAGTTCATTACATATTTTGCAACCGTCGAACAGCTGTTTACAGAATCCACACAGGTCAACAGTGAGTTGACATGGTGGATTTTAAATATGCGGTCTTTAAACCGTCGTCAAAATTACACGGTTTTATTATGTGGAGTTTTTCATTATCGATAAGCTCGGCTCTCAGTTTTCGTTTACGATGAAAATATTTGACATATAAGTTTGATACATATTCGTATAAGATGACTTGCAACGAAAACATCGAATATGCATTTGTACATACCCTACGCACTGTTGTCAAATTAAATAGGGTGTGTGCAAATAAAGCATATGGCGCGAAGCAATTTCATTTAGTTCATAACAACAAGCAGCGAGGGAACAAATACTGTGACGCTCTGTAGCGTCCCAAACTAAGTCATTCTAATGTACATAGTACAAAGTAGCATAACAATAAACAATTAGTTAGACTGTCGCTAACGCTGTTTGACGTACTGTAAATAGTATGCGCTTACAATATGTAAGTATGCGAATTATAAGGCGGCGGCGACGCAACAGCCGAGGTTTATTTGATAACATAGAAATTGGGCATGAAGCAAATAGGAATTTTAGATTTGAGCACAAATAACTCTTTACATGTGATTTCGCGCTCAAGCAGTTACATAAACATACACACTACATAACATACATGTGTTCATGTGTGTGTGTTAGTGTATGTTTTCATGCGCAACGCTTTCCCCTTCCACATTGCGCTGCTATCAGAAAGAAACCCAATAGGAAATTCTCTGGGCTACATGTGTGTTCTTATATATTTCAATGAGTCTAGTTTAAAGAAAGTTCATGCAAGCTTGTGTGCGTGTGTGTGTGTGTGCAAACATTTGCACAGCCAACAAGTTCATGACCATAAAAATAACATGTAATAATTATTGTTGGCATTCGGCAATTGCCTTGCGCCGCTCATGATCACTTTACACGTCCCATCTGGCAGCCGTATAACTGAACAATACGGAAACGTAGAAAGCTTTGCACGAGATCTCGTGCATCAATTGCAATTTTCAATGGCAAATTGCAGCGAGAGCAGAGGCAATTTTCGCAATTTTGGCAATTTTCGAATGCGAGAGCAACTCGAAAACAATTTTGTTGCATTCAGTATTTGTGCAACCATTGTGACATTTAAATCAAAAGTGCGACACAAAATACAAATAATTTGGAAAAAAGCAAGTACTACAAATACATATTCAAATTTATATAGTTTCCACATTGCCCCCGCACTTGACACTGGCCAACTGACAGAGATATCGATAGGATATAGAATATATATACATATATCGACACTGACCTTGCAGTTCTCGGTTGCCTTGTTTAGGATAGTTGTCTTCTCCTTCGTCGTTGTCGTCGTCTTCGTCTAGATTTGTGAACACCCGCTAAATGCATAGAGCCCTTCCAGTCCCGTTCCCCCCTTCTCTTTAGTGGCTGTCGATAGGTATTTAAGTGGTATGGTGAGGCAAGTCCTTAAGCGACTGATCAGCTGGCAGCGCGGGCTCACTGCCAGGTTGCCAAATGTGCATCCGATGACCAGGGGAATTGTTACGTATGCTTTAATGTGGCCAACGGGCAGCCTAATCCAACAGACGATGGAGGGTCGCAATCTAAGTAAGTTTTCGCCCAATCATCCATCCATCCATCATCAACACCAAGCCACTTCATGCTTATTGCCACGCTAATTCTCGCAGGGACCTATGACTGGGCACGTGCAGCGCGTTTCAGCTTGTTTGGTGGCCTCTATGTGGCCCCCTCGATTTATGGCTGGGTGCGTCTAACTAGCGCCATGTGGCCGCAAACAAATCTACGTATTGGCATTGTCAAGGCGAGTATCGAGAGTGCACCTTCTCACCATCATCATTATCGTCATCATCATTTGCCTGACTGCTTATAACACATTTCAGGCCATTACCGAGCAAATCTCCTATGGACCCTTCGCTTGCGTCAGTTTCTTTATGGGCATGAGCCTGTTGGAGCGAAAGACATTCGCACAAGCCGTCGAGGAGACCAAACAGAAGGCGCTGCCCACTTATAAGGTTCGTTCCTGCACTCCTTGTCCTATACACATATATATAGATTATTATTTACATGTTTGTGTGTGTTTGTGTGGATCTATATATATATATATATATATATATATATATGTATATATATGTATGTATATATGTGTGTAGGTTGGCTTGTGCGTGTGGCCCTTTCTGCAGACAATCAACTTCTCGCTGGTGCCGGAGCACAATCGCATCATATTCGTCAGCATTTGCAGCCTGATGTGGACAATATTTCTGGCCTACATGAAAATGCGCGAATTAGACTCAACTCCAGAGCCAGAACCAGAGCTGGACCTGCGGCATACGAAGCTTGCCAATTAGTTGAATGATTGTGGACTCTTGTTGATCTGTTATATAGTATATATATATATATATATATAAATATAGTATATTTGTGTATGCTGCTGACCTGTTATTTATATATAGTATATATGTTTCCGAATTTACAAACCAAATTTATAGCTCAATTATAATGATTAAAAAAGGAAACGAATTTTGAATACACTATTACTGTAGTGGCGGCGGCACTCTAGCAACTATCAACTCTCCAATCCAGAGTTGGGTTGTCAGTGAATTGTTGTCGTTTGGTCGCCGATTGTTGGCCACCGTTTGCACAATCCAGTCAACATAGGCGGACACTTCGGTGAATACGCCCGGATAGGGTGGACGTGTGCACGGCTTCACACTCCATGAGACAATGCCAATTTGTGTGTCCATTGCTGATGATGCATGCAGCAGCAGTGGTCCACCCGAATCGCCGCTGCATTGACCCTTCCAGCCCTCGGGCACGCCGGCGCACAGTTGGCTGGCATGGAGCTGAGCCTGGTGACGGCGACTGCACTCCTCGTCGCTGAACACTTGCAGCTCCACCTTGTGCAGCTGCTGTTGCACCACGCCGCCCGTCTGCACAAAAATTGATCAATTTTCTATATAAACAATAACAATACAATCAACCAATACGAACCGCATTTAATCCCCAGCCGGCGAGCAAAACGGTGCTGTTGGCCAACGTCGGCTGTTGGGGACTTGGCAAACGCACCGGCTGCACACTTCTGTTGAAGATTATGGGCTTGGTCAGCTGCAGAAGTGCAATATCGTGTATGTATTTATCCTGTGGCTCATAGCCGGGATGCACATGTATTGTGGCAACCGTGACCAATCGGCTCGCATTGCGCTCAATGCGATTGCTGCCATATTGCAAATTGAGCTGCTCGGGCAATGCGCCACGCACACAATGCGCTGCCGTTAGCACCCAGCCAGCATTCAATAGCGTTGCACCACACGAGTGGTGGCCACTTTTGGCACGACGCAGCGACACCTGACATGGACGCAGACAAATAGAGGGAGAGAGAGAGAGTTAGGTATCCTTATATATAGGTATATATATCCTTATAGTTATCGCTTACTGCATAGGGAAACTCGCCATTTGCTGCCAAAGTGCCATTGACTATTTTGCCATCCTGTTCCTCCTCCTCCTTCTCATCCTTGTGATCTGCTCGCGTGCTGCTCGCTAAAAAGCATATCAGCAATATTATTCCAAGTCCACACAATGTGCAGCGCATGTTGTCGTTTGAACTGCGCCAATCGTTGGCCATTGCATTTATTTGGCCAGCATGTCTTGCTCTATTGTTGTTTTGTTGAACGATGGGTGTTCCCTAACTCGACCCGTATTACTAATCTATCATGTTGGCCATGTAGGTAGGAATTAATTTACATTAATTACTCACATACAAGTATGCGATACAATTAACTAAATGTATATGTATGTGTGTGTACATACAGTGGCTTCTACGCTGGTGTGGCAACAGCTAAGGACGTTCGTCACCAGGTATCCCATTGTGCGTGGCATGATATCATACAGCCTGATCTGGCCAACGGGCAGCCTCATACAGCAATCGTTTGAGAACAAGAGCTGGGGTTAGTAGTAGTAATCCATAGCTGTTGCTGTTGCTAACAGTTTCCTCATCTCCACACATAGGCAACTTTGATTGGTGGCGCGTCTTCCGGTTCAGCATGTACGGCGGACTGTTTGTGGCGCCGACGCTATACGGCTGGGTGAAGGTAAAATGCTCATGTGTGTATACATTTACATATCGGCAAATACATCGAGTTAATATTGCCAGATATCTAGCGCCATGTGGCCGCATACATCATTGCGCACCGGCCTTGTTAAGGCGGCAGTGGAGACCATATCTTATACGCCCGCTGCGATGACCTGTTTCTACTTCATAATGAGTTTGCTAGAATCGAAGACGGTCCGCGAAGCAGTCGCAGAAGTTGGCAAAAAGTTCATTCCCACCTACAAGGTATGCATAAAATACAAATGATCCATATATATGCAAATATATATACATCTATATATATATACTTAATAGGTTGCACTATCCGTTTGGCCACTGGTAGCCACCATTAATTTCTCTTTGATACCGGAACGCAATCGTGTGCCATTTATTAGTGTGTGCAGTTTGTGCTGGACATGCTTTCTGGCTTATATGAAACATTTGGAGCACCATGAGGTGGATCAAGTTCTGTAGTTCTGTCGTTTTCTGTGTGTATCTATTGTTATTATTAGCTTTAATAAATTAATGCAACACTTAGCCGGTTATCTTCTTCTTATACACAAAACAAGTTGGGCAAAGCGAGCATCGTATACGATATACGACCGATAGCATAAGAATACATCGATACAAAATCGCAATTTCGTGCCTGGTTGAAATATCGATATTCCGAAGTAAAAGAATTTTTGGACAATGAATCGATATTTGTACCATCCCCAGCCCCACCTTGCTGTTGGGTGTGTGCATTCGACTAAATCGCGTTTCAATTGTTTTTCTTATTTTTTATAATATTAATATTTATTTTTCTTGGGAACCAAGTGCCTGCGTTCACAATGCGTAATTTGGGCAAACAGCAGTCGCAGGATACAACCGACACGAGTGTGGAGAAGGGCGACTATCCACGAGCGACAAGTGAGTGACGCAGTCAGTGTTGTTTATTTTAAAGTGCTGTTTGCATTTGTATAAATATATATATACATGTTTGTGCGTGTGTGTCCACTTACAGATGGAGTTGTTTTTGGTGCAATTGTGACATTCGCCAGCTTCTTTGTGCTGATGATGTCCTTTTGCTCGCCGTATTGGATTGAATCGTACGAGGAGACACGCAGCAGTTTTAAGAATATGGGCCTCTGGCAATATTGCTTTAAGAATTTCGTGTATCCAAATTACCAATTCCCCAAGCAATTCACCGGATGCCATTTGATATTTTCCCATGTGAGTAACACATTGCTACACATATAAGTACAATAATAATAATAATAATCCATTTGGTTGCACTAGGACTATTATGTTATACGAGAATATCTGCTGCCTGGCTGGCTGATGGCTGTTCAGGGCTTTGTGACGATGTCCTTTATCATTGTGTTCGCTGTACTGACCCTGCTCTCGCTGACGATCATTCGCCTGCCTCTCAAGGCTGTGCTGCAATATGAGTGGCTTCTGGTGCGACTCTCCTACATAGGAACAGCCATATCATGTACGTATTTACGCCTCTAATAACTGTTTGCAATCATATATATATATATATATATATATATATCTATATCGTCTCATCTAATAGCTCTGTTCATGTTTCTGGCGGTGTGCATATTTGGTGGGTGCGCCTATCGTCGCGACTGGTTGATGTATCCGAAATTCAATGTGCTTGGCTGGTCGTATGCCTTGGCTGTTGTCACCTTTATGCTGCTGGGCTTGGCTGCCCTCATTTTGCAGCGGGAATCTCGGCAGGCATACGAGGCGCGTGGCGAACAGAAGAATCTTGTTATGCAGATGGAAATGCAAGAGCCGGGCTATCAGCCACCGCGTCATCATCACAGTCAATCCCGCAGCCTGCAGGGTTACATATAGTAGTAGTGCCACAATTCACATAACTCAACTCAACTCGAACTTCAATTAATTCCATATATATATTATTTTTTTTATTATCAGACAATTATTCTTGATGCCGTCCTCTCTATTATTTACTTTTCACTTGACCTTAATATGCTTATTTGTTCAATGTTAGCAAAACGGAATCTCTCCATATTTTTAATAAGTGCCTTGGAATTTGTAGTGCAAATTTTGTTATACTTATACATATTTAGTGTATCTGTAGATTTGTAGTGTCTATATATTATCTATGCATCAGAACAGCCGTCCAAAAATGACACAAACTAAATATATATATATATATATATCTCCATCTCTATTATACATACATATATACTATACTTAATGTGCATCAAATATACACATACATTTTACATATTTATACACTTACATACATACACAGATGCATGCATATATAGATATATATATACACATATGTTTATATGCGTATCAGATCGAATATCGAACAATGTTAACAGCATCGTAAATTTGTCCCTTTTTTTACCAAAATGTATGTATATTAATAAGAAGAACTTTACACAAATACATTTCGCAAAATACGATTTCAATTTTGATCGGCTTATAATACTTTGATGACTTGAATTTCGGTTAATAGAATGTGTCATCCTATATATGTTCCATGTCCTCTTATCTAACCTCTATGGTGCTGCCGTCGCCGCCGCAGCTGCTGCTGCTGATAATAGTTGCCGCTGATTGCCAATTGGAACAGCTCGATGCCGTGTCGATTTTCGTGGTATCTTAGTTCGAAATGCTCGCTGACTGAATTCGGTTGTGACAAATAACTATTGCCAAAATCAAACTGTAACTACACATACATATATATCATATATATATATATATATATATATATACATATATATGTCTCGACTTTATTGTTTTATACCTAGATCAATTGTTCCAAAGAATGCACAGTGTGTTTTGCCTATGCATATGGCTATTTATGTGCGCTATCATAACGTGTAAGATAAACCAGCGTTTAATCATACTGTGAATATATTGCCCATCCCTAGCAGAGTGTGTGTGTGCGTTTGTGTAAATGTGTGTGTGTGTGTGTGTGGTATACATTTGAAGAGGGTTTCGTGCGAAAACAAAAAAAAACCAATTTTATAAAAAGAAATCGCACTGGAAACTAAAAAGGGTCTAGCAATAATTTCAAAATATGGGAAAACAAAATCTATAAGTTAAAAATCGACAAACAAAATTCATATATTTTTTAACATTTTTTTTCTATTAAGAAATGTATTTCATTTAAAACTGGTAGAAAAAAATCGTTTCTAAAATTCTAAAATTTCTAAAAAATCATTATGAGTTTCAAAGACATAGAAGCAGTCAACCCAGCAAAGATTCTCGCATTCCTGCGGCAGCTGGGTTTGATGGAGGAGCTATAGGCTCAGAAGGGGGCGCAATAGATCGAGTAGCTCGCAGTGCAAGTATTATAATAATACTAATAAATTGAAATTGCTTTGCTTTTATATTAGAGTTTGTCTGTCGCCTGCCTTGCAGGTCGATTGGCAACATTTTTTTGGGAAATTTAATTTAATTTAATTTAATTTTTCGGGAAATTTACCCTGAAATTTGAAAAAGAAATAATAAATAATCTTTCTGAATAATAAGGTGAGTTGTGCATGACGCTAAAAGTATGGCGAATTTAAGCGCATTTTTTTCCCGAGTTTTTAAATATGGAAATATGAATCTAACTCATCAGAGACTTACTCCTTACATAACTATAAACTTCATATAGCTGTTATTGGAACGATGGAATTCGATTCGGATGCTGGGCTGGGGTATAGCTAGGGTATTTCATCTTCTGTATGCCCAAGGATAACTGTAGTTGTCGTTCAGCACTGCTCTCTAGCAGTGCTATCTGCTTAGGGTATTTGGTATTCGACCAAACCGAAAACGCACTGAAGAAAACTGTTATTTTTTTATTAATCATCGCTGACATTTTTGTATTGGCTGCAACCAAACGGAAATTGACGTAAAATACAAGCATAAAAGATACGGCGACAAGGCCAAGTTAACGTTGACATTAACAACATTGTTGGGCTGCCGACAGATTGGTTCAAATGAATGGGCCAACATCCATAATGTTTTGCAACTAGTTGTATATTATGTGTTACTCTTTGGCAGTCGGAGACGAGTCGATTGAGCCGCGGATTATTAATGGCAGCATTGCGAAAGTGGCCGAGACAAAGCACCTAGTCTCCATACGTCTGAGGAAGAATGATAAGAACTTCGGAACCGGCCACATTTGCGGTGGCTCCCTAATTGGCAACAACAAGGTACTCACCGCCGCCCACTGCCTCTACAAGTAAATGGAATAATTATTCCCAAAATAGATACCAACTAGAGACTGACCCACCATCCATTCGCAGCACCTCAAAGAAGAGATACCGCAAGGCCAATGAGTTTGTGGTGGTCATGGGCACCCTCAATCGCTACGAACGCACCAAGAACACCATCGTCTCGGATGTGAGCTCCATTGCCTATATGAACACCTTTGGAACGGATAGCATGCGTGACGATGTTGGGGTTATGTTTCTGCGCACCGGTCTGCCACCAAATAGCACACATCCGACTGTGGCGCCCATCGAGATGGCCACGCAGGTGACACCAGTCGGCGCCACATGCCAGGTGTCTGGCTGGGGTCGCACCGAAGAGGTGAGCTCATCACATACATAAATAATAATTTCACTCGTTACTTTCATATATAGCATCCGATCTGAGATTTCTATTATCTTCATCAATATAGACAATCGGCTGTCTTTACAGATTATTCAAATGTTCCTTTAGTCTTTAAACTTTTTGTTTATCTTCTCTCAGCACTCAATGCCACATTATAAAGCAATTTTATAATGGTATCATTAAAAGAATATTAATTGATAAAGTATTTGAAATAATTTCCCGATGAGAAACCAACTATTTGTTGTTTTACAGAATTGAATAATGGGCGTAAGAAGATATATCGAAGGAATATTTTCATGGCAACATAATATGCATATGTGATTTGTTTTGCAGAACACTCTGTCGAATGTGCTGCTATCGGCGAATGTGAGCCTGATCCGTTGGAGGACCTGCCGCAGCATTTATGGCAGTGGTCTGCTTGATGGCATGATCTGTGCGGGACGATTGCGTGGCGGCACCGATTCCTGTCAGGGCGACTCTGGGGGTCCGTTGGTGTATGCGGATCGCGTCATTGGTGTCGTCTCCTGGGGCTATGGTTGTGCGGAGCCGGGTCTGCCCGGTGTTTATGCGGACGTACAGTATTATCATCAGTGGATTGAGGAGCGTAGCGCCGGCTTCTCAGCGCTCCAGCTGCAGCAACGGTGGCTCTGGCTCTGGCTGGGCTTGGGTTCGATACTCTGGGCCACGTTGGCCTTCTAATTGATGTGTTACTAGCTAAGCTGAATTAATTTTTTTTCTTCTTTTTATGCAACTTTTATATTTTAAACATGGACCTGCTGTTCTACTCGATGAACTAAGCAGAATTAAACCAAAACATAAAAAAAAAACAATACATAATAATTGGAATGCTTCTCTATCAAAGGCAAGGATATTTTGGAAACTTCAGCTAGCCGAAGCGAAATCCTTAGATTAGTTGAGGGCACTTGTCACCAGGGAAGGGAAGATCTTAGATTATATTTTCTAAATCGAAATAAAATAAAAAAATGTTTTTTTTTTTTATATTTTAAGATTATCGATTTTGGGGCAAGCCTTTTTTTTCATTTTTAGAATTATTTCTTTTCTTATATTTAGAAATGATTTCGTGGCCAGTTCATATGCAGTAGAAGTCATTATGAGATGTGCCGCAATGGCTTACAGTTCTTGAACTAATTGAGATCGAGTCAAGTGATTTTTGGGGCAGCTTGGAGACAGCTGAAAAGATGCAGATTTTGGTCATTTGAATACCACGACTGGTAATCGAAGAGTGCCTCATTACTGATGTCCGAATAAACGAATAAAGATGCTTTGAGTAGACTCCATATCCAACTGTTATTAAACACCTTCTGTCCTTGTTAGCTGTACTTACGTTGACCCAAAAGGACCACACATTTTTGTAGTAGTAGTCGTCGGGGCAGGCGGGGCAGGCATACTTCAATTAACAAGCAACATTTATTTACAGTCAACAACGCACACATATACATAGATAAACACACGAAATAACGGAATAAAATTGGCTGATTGCCTTTGATATGGTGCTGGTGGGGTGGAAGCATCGGGATCGGAGGAGCGGTGGAGCGGAGGGAGTTGGCTCTTCAGCCCATGGCGTAACTATATAAGTTGGTGACGTATTGAGTACTGTGCCTCTCGACAGTGGATGACAATTGACAGTTGCTCATCTATTTTATGTTAACAAAGATGTAAATGTAGAATGTGTTCTGCATTTATTATTAAATAGATAGATACGCTTCAATGCTTGAAAGCTTCAATTTGAGCTCCCGCCAAATGCTCACAGACAGGCAAAACAAAGCAAGAGAGAACCGACTGCAAAATACTCTGATACCAATAAGTAATACAGGAACAGGTGCCGGGTGGGTTTAGCCCACAAATACCGATTTTTTATAGCTTTCTAGTAATCAATCCTAAAATTTTTGTCTTTTCCAATAAATTGACTTGCTTTTTGAATTGTGCTACCAGCAATATGCCTTCCGAATTTAATGACTACAGCTTTCAAATTGTGGGAGATATGCGGCTTCTTTGATTGCGATTTGCGATTGTTGAATGTAAAGATTTCCCAGCCTCTTAGTGGACGTAGCAGCCCAGTTTTGACACATACTCCAAGTTTCAAGCACATTCCACAAAATCAATATACTCCGGATACCTTCGGTATCAGAGTATCAAAACAGAGCCACTGCCATCTCTTTAACATTCAGCATAGCGCAAGGCCCAGTCACCATTCAATTGTGATGCCATCTCTATCGCACTGACGGAGTACGTCCTCAAAATAGGTAATGTCACCAAGCATCCCCTAGTTACACCATGATTCGGGCTAACAGTTGCAGTTGCGTCGCGAATGCGGATGGGGAGCGGAACTGTTCGTCTGGTGGAGACGCACCAGATCCGGGCCATAGATCATGTTGGGCAGACGCTGTGACTGCGACTGTGTTTGGGACATGACCAGGGAGAAGTCACGATTGCAGACGGCATTCTCGATGCGTGTCATGACGCGACCGACAAGCAGATCGACAGCCTGCTGTATATTGGCGCCGGTGCAGGCGCTCGTCTCAATGTATGGCAGATGGTAGCGTTGCGCCAATGCCGCGACCTGTTCCCGACTGACGACACGCAGCTGGATGAGATCGGACTTGTTGCCGCAGAGGACAACGTCCGGTTCTTCGGTGTAGGCGTGGGTTCGCAATTGCTCCAGCCAATTGCTAATCTCCAGAAACGATTTCTGGCTGGTCAAATCAAAGATAAGCAGAAAACCCATTGCGTCCCGATAGAATGCCGTTGTCAGCGAACGAAATCGCTCCTGGCCAGCAGTGTCCCATATTTGCAAATGGATCCGATGCCGTCGTCCCCGCGACCTGTACACCTGCCGACAAAACCCGGATCATTTAATATGAAGTAATACTTGATGTACTTGGAAGTTGGGAGTTGGGAGTTTGGATTTGGGTGACTCACCAAACGTTTCTCTCGAAAATCAATGCCGACGGTGGAAATGAATTGGGAGTGAAAGCGGCCGTCTGTGTATTGATAGAGCAGACATGTTTTGCCCACACCGGAATCGCCCAGGACGAGGAATTTGAACAAGTAGTCGTAGTCAATGTTGGGCGTCGTCATTCTCTCTGTCCACTGTGTCCACTGTATCCTTGTGTCGCTCAAAGCAGCATCCTGCAACGAAAATGATTGAAGATGCTGCTGTCAATGGTAGATCAAAACTTGAGTTGGGTGCAAATATGTTAAATACAATATGAGATGCCGCAATCATCAACAGGTCATTCACCCTCTAGGTGTGTGTGTGTGTGTGCATGTGTGTGAGCTGGCAGAAAAGGATACGTTGCGAGCCCAATATATATACCCTGAACCCCTTTTTAAAATGGCTAACAAGAGTATCATGATTTTGAGCAAATGTATGTGACACGCAACAGCATCTCTAATAACGTACATATAAAGTTTATATGTATATATATTCTTAATCCCGATTAACAGCCTTGTCCGTCTGTCCGTCTTCAAATTTGGCATATAAGTTCACGTATACCTCACATAGATCAAGTTTACTTACTTTATTTTATCAGTACATTTCGATGTATAAAAGTCACAATTTTAAAGTCAAAGGCTTTCAATTAATATATGATATTCATTGACATATTATCGATTATCAACTGGGCAAATTTCATCAAGATCATCATATTTAAGAAGTGCGATTTAGCGTATATCGTAGTCGAGCTCACCCGACTCGACTGTATTCGTACTTGTTGAAACTCATTTCATCTAGATTTATTGATTTTCTGTCTCATTTTTCTGTGCAGCTATTTGCGGTGACAGGGGTGTGCATCAAAAAAAAGCCTAATCAAATGTTGATTGAATACAAATATCTACATATGTATGTAAGGATATATGCAAGGATATATGTATGTATATATTTATGTATGTATGTCTGTCAGTTGGCTTAAGGTCTCTTGGGATTTTTTGGCTTCACTCAAAGAATTCAAAATAAAACATTTCTAAAGTTATGCCAAAGATTTGAAGGATACATTTTGCCTTTGTTGTGTTCGTAATTAGATATAGGCTTATAGGATCGCATAATGTGCAGTAGAAGGGAGCATGAGGCAATTGGTTGGAGGAGAGGGGGGAGGGGCGTTGAGCTTTTTGGGTCGGCGCGAACTTAATGCCAACTTAGACCTTAAAGTACGCTGTTCCCAAAAATAGGCGCAAAGCTAAAGAGAGCGAGAGATAGCGAGAGAGAGAGAGAGGGTGAGAGGGAGAGCGGCGGAATAAGGGCTTATAAATAATATAAAGCTGCCACTCCAGGATGTGTCAAGAAAGCAACCTGACAACATAATCAACATAATCCGAAATAGCTCACTGTTATGATTTTTCGTAATATTATTAGTATTGGGCGTTGTATGCACATATATAAATATATATATATGTGTATATATTTTTATATATGTCACATGTGATGCAAGTTAAATGAACGGAAATGGTCGGTAAAGCTCTGTGGTCTTTTGGCTACTTGTTGCAGTTGTTGCAATTGTTGCTGCTGTGTGTTGTTGGCAACCTTGACAACTGCAACTCGCTTCTGCATGCGTGTGTTTGCGTGTGTGTGTGTTTAAAAATAGCCTCAGCTAATTGAGCGCGTGCACACACACACACACACACACACAGAGAGAGAGAGAGCGAGTTATCAAATTATATCAATTAACGGTACTCACCTGGCCTCGGCATTGCCCACGATTTGATCAACTTGTAAATGGTTTATGTGTTTGCCACTGCATATCAAATGTAAATTTGAGTTTGGCGCGCAAAACTATGCAACAGTTTTCGTAGTCCAATTTAAATTGTGAATTGAAGCTGCTCTCAGGCGAAAACCAACAATTTGACGGCCATTAAATGCAATAACTAATGCTTGTGCACATACATTGGCACAGTAAGCTGATGTTATTTTTAGGTGAGTGCGATTTGTTTACAACGACAGCATCGCACAGGACCTAAGCAAAATAGGGATGCGGTCTGTTGTCAGTCACAAACTGTATTGTTGCAGGTGAATGGCAGGCAAAAGCTTTAAGCAAGGGCGGCAGCTTCGGTTTTATCGGTTACGACTCGCGCATCGACTGCAAATGCGCCACAAATTAATCGATTTCACACATTTCGATATATTATACTTTCTATCTTCGTTTTGTTTTTTGTTCGATAAGTCGCACTGCGCGCGTTTTTTTCAATTATGAGTATGAGCAACAGCGGCTGCTAATTTATTTCAATTTATTTTTGAAATGATATTTGATGTTTAATTAACAATGTTTTATTTTTATTTTTCCTTTAAGAAAAAAACACTTAGTTTTTAAGATTCATGCTGTAAATATTAAATTTTGGTTTTTCTTTCTTTTTTTGTTTTGTTTTTTTTTCTCTAAATTTTTTTTAATTCTTGGCTGTTGTTTTTGCAAACAAGCCAATCATCTTTTTGTTTTTGCAGCTGAACATTGTTAAATTGAATTTTTCCCAATTCTTTTCATCATTATTATTTAAATTTCTTGGTTTTTTTTTTTGTTTTGCCTTGTTTTTCTTTTTTGCTACAGCTGACATCAAGTACATTTGCTTATGATTTGCTTATATGCGTTTATTTGCCTTTTCTTGACTGTATTTCTAGGTTAAACATTGAATACGAAATCATGTATATGAAAATACAGCATTCATAAATGTACATAATATTAGTATATGCATGTATAAATCTATATATTATTTTCAATGCTTTGCAAAAATTTGAAACAAAAAATAGTCGAAGCTGGATTTTCCTCCTTTTGAAATGAATCAACAATTTTTTTCTTCTTTTTATAGTACATGTTTTAGACGATACAAATATATATAGATGTTTTGCATATATGTAGTGTATATATTTGAATATATATAAAAAAAAAATTCATTTGAGGGGAAAAAAGTAATGTACATTTTAATCGAAATACGCTAAACCAATAAGCTGCATTAACAATATGTTTGTTTGTTTGTGTGTGTGTTTAAATGTTTTTCCAACCGATCCGACAATGATTATAAAAGTTGATTGAATTTTCTTATGCAAGTATTAATATATGTATGCATACATATGTATATTTTACGTACGTTTTCCCCATTCTCAAATTAAAATGTTTCCATATGTGCTTTGTATTTGTTTTCATCGTAATTTTAACTGATTTCTGCATAGTTATTTAGGAATTTGCAACGACACAAATACATATACATATATTTATATGTATGATTTAGGCCATTTTTCTTGACTTTTTATTATTAATGTTTACAGTGTATGTGTGTGAGTGTACTTGGTAAATTAACCATAGCAAAACCAAATGAAATAAAATTAAATGCAAGTGCAATAATAAAAACAAATTTTTTTTCTTTTTTTTTTTGTTCTTCTAATTATACAACTTTTTCCAAGCATGCCGAAGAAGACTCCTTGTGTCCAGATGCGTGGAAGTTTTTACACATAAACAACATAAACCATTTCTTATTGGGCGTGCGTGCATGTATGTGAATGTGTACATATAAATATCGTGTGTGTTGTGTCAGTGTGTGTGTGTGTCTGTGTGAGTGCAGGCTATGCATACAAATTGTGCCAGCAGCAATTGATTCTAACGACAAATGCGAGCAGAGAAGAAACGAAAGAGAGACCGAGAAAGAGATAGAGACAGAGAGGGCACGTCAAATACTGCATGACTTTATTCTGGCTGCATGGAGAGCTATTGGAAGTACAGGAGAGTGAGTGAGTGAGATAGCCTGCATTCCAGAGTCGAGTGTGTGTGTCTCTGTATTTGTGTGTGTGTGTGTGTGTTTTGACACTGACTTTAGAATTGCAGTTTGTTATAGCCTTGGCAATCGATAATCGCAAATCGATCATTGCAAATCGATAAAGCCGTGGCGATGTCCTTCAAAGATTGGCATATGCCACGCCCCCATCACAGCCGCCCCCAGTTCCCAGGCCCCTAAAAATCGGAAATGCCTCTATCTTGCGCAGATTTTGAGGTGACGCCTGACTTAAACTTTCTCTCTTGTTATAATTAATGTTGTTGTTGATGATTTTTTTGTTATTGTTAAATTTCTATATATAATTGCCAAACACAGAATTAGTCGTGTCGCTGTTTTTGTGGCTGGTTTTTGCTGCTGGTTTTTTATCTCTTGTGGTTCTTGATTGCTGCTGCTGCTGCTGTTGTTGTTGCTGCTGCTGCTGCTGCTGCTTGCTGCTGCTGCTTGCTGCGTTCGTTGTTGTTGTTGTTGATGTTGTAATTATGGCATTCAGAGCAAAAACTTGCCCAGCAATAGACCCAAAATGGCCGCTGCAATAGCAATTGCTATATAGAAGACCGGAATCTGTTTTTCAGCCAGAACGGGAGCATAATGCTCATTGATTTGCTTGGTATCCGGGAAGCTGCGATAGCGTGATACTTGATCCTGCATAAGATAAGATAAGATAGATAATTAGCTATTTAAGTTAACCAAGTGTATTCATATTGGTGGTGCAGCGCAATTACCTTCAAGTGTAGATTCTCTTTTCGCAGTTCGCTGTTGAGGTCACGCAAATCCTTAATTTCGGCCGCCAGGGATTCAGTATGCTCAGCATCGGACATTTTGAAGGACTAGCAATTCAATCAAACAATCAATCAATAATAATTACAACTCCACTTCGAGATTAGACTTGTGGTAGATGTAAGTACCTGCTGCTCCTCGACGGACAATTTCGGCGCATCGCTCTTCAGCGATTCGCCGATACTGAGATTGGTGGCTGCATTGGCGCCCACGCTGCTGCTGCCGCCACCAATGGTACCACCAGCGGTGCCACCGGTATTGTTCTCTGCATTCGCCTCAGCGGCCGGCATTTCGAACACACACTTCAGCTTGGCGTCCATTAGCTGATCTGGTTCCAGTTCCTTCCACTGTGCACGAAGAAACAAGACAACAATTTTAATAATCAGAGTGAGATATATATATATATATTATACATACCAACTTGTTTAAATCAGTCAAATCGGCATCCTGCGGTGCCAGCACACTCTGTACCATAAACTTGTGCTTGTTCTTCTCCTGCTGATCGTACATGAAAGGCTGCAGGCATACTATACACAAAAAAAATAAATATATATATATATAAAAAATCGAATCAATCAATCAATCAATCATTTCAGTATTGTTATTATGATGATTGATGCACTCACTTTCCACCTGCGTCGACCGATGTGGCGCAATCTTGCCAATGTTTGGACGTACACAATAGCGCTTGGGAGCAGTAGTCTTGATCTTGAAGACCAGTGTCACGGCCGTATTGTTGCGCAGCGTCATGATTGTCACCACTGGCCGGATGAATGGACCTATAATAATGCACAAAAGTGTATAAGCATATATAAAGATAAGTACACATATTTCAGTTATCTATTACAATGATAAACGGTGATAGCAGGTGTTAATGTTGGTGTCACTTAGACATTTTCTACTGCGTCTCTCCTAACTTTCAGACTGGTTCAAATATGATATATATTTATATATACATATGCATACATACATCTAGTCAGTGAAATAGGTGTGAATACAAAACAAACTTGTGAATTTAAAAATCAAAAACAGTGTAAATATCATGTCCAAACAAGAATAGTAGCGAGCTATGTAGGTTTTTTGTAAAACCGAGGAAGAATCCTCAATGTACATTCTAGCAGAGTGTGTCGCCTTAACTAGGAAAAGATATAGTATCCTAGGGATGCAAGTTGTGAGCTTCAAGGACATAGAAGCCCTCAACTCAACAAAGATTCTAATGAAAATCAGAAGCACATTTCTTTCTTTGAAGTCCTTATTGAGCTAGAGAGTGAAAAAGTTGCGAGTCGCATAAAATGAAGAAAACCTAAATTTATCAATTGATTTTTTTGTTTGTACAATGTAAGATTTCAAATATATTCATTATAATAAAAGCTTAACTCAGCTATCCAATAATATTCAATGTAGAAAGTTTACCTTACAATTTTAAGAATTATACCAAGATCCAGGTAACAATTTTCAATATATATATATATGTTGGGTTTTTCAAGCGGCACTAGGTTTGGCGGTTAGACTAAGAACTTTTATTCAATGTATTCTTAAGTTAAGGTATCGAGCGCAGTATCGATATTTTCTGTTATTAACATTAGTAATCGGAATGTTGTATTGATCTTTTACATATTTTGAACAGTATTAATAGGTAATGAATTACATTGGGGTGCTTATATGAAAAGAGATATAGGCAAGGATAAAACTAGATTCAGCAAAAAGTATGTCACAGGCAGAACGATCGAAAGAGGAATGTCCGATCCAAACTTAGAGACTAAATGAGCTTGTTTGTTTCTAGTTTCGAAAATATCTTAACCAAACTAACTGGTTGCCCTCATCAATCAATCGTCAATCATAGCTATCATAATTCGGCGACTCACTCTCTATCTCTCTCTCTTCGAATAGTAACAGGCTTGCTGAGGGGCCACTCCAGGTCATACCAGGCTACTCCGGGTTGCGCAAGATCTTGCGTGAGACTGACCAGATGCAAGAAAACAAGCAATAAACACACTAAGACTGAGGAACAGTGATGCTATTCCTGCATTCCAAAATTATAGGTTAGCTTAGCACTTAGAGTCAAAATATATCCAAGATGTCAAAACAACAAAATTAAAAAGAGCCAAATTACACTTGTTACACTGGTGCTATTATTCTATATCGCTTTATAGGCACAAAATTCATATGCGAAGGGAATTTAAGTAATTGGTGATGGTTTGATCAAAGCAATAATTTGATTTTTCATGTGAAATTAATTGAATTAAAGGCAAGCATATATATATATATATATATATATATGTATATATGTACATACACACATACGTATGTATATATATATATATATGTACGCACAGACATACATACATATCAGGGCAGCAATTTTTGAATTTGTTTTAGTTTTGTAAGAAATTCATTCAAAAGATGCCCAATACATACACACACACATGTTCATATATATATACAGTGTCTCACAGCTTATTTCCGACAGTGTCTAGCAAAAATTTTAATTGCCTGCCATAAATAATTAAAATCTAAGCAAATCAACTTTATTCAACATCATTCGTCGACCAAAATCGGATAGAGGACAAGGGCAGAAGGGCACCAAACAAGATTTTCACCGAACAGGAAGAGCGGAGGATCATCAGGAAAATAAGGGAAAGTCCCAAGATATCGGCTCCAAAACTGACTCCACAGGTGGAGGATGAAATTGGGAAAAAGTGCAGTGTAGAAACTGTGCGCAATTATGACTTTAATGCCCGAGTAGGCTCTGCTGGAAAATAACTTCCGGAATCACAGATCCAATCTCAAAAATGCCCTGCTGGATGAGTGGAGCAAAATCTGTCCAGAAACAACCCGGAAGCTGGTATCTTCGATGAATAATAGGATAAGGGAAGTTATTAAGGCTAAAGGATATCATACTAAGTATTAACATCCTTATTTAAGTTTTTATACGTCAAATATGTTACTTTTCTAAGACTGGGCCAAAAAAGCTTTGACATGTATTTTGGATAAGTTTTCAGTTTTTGACTAATTTTAATTAATTAATTAACATTTTACTAAAAACTAAAGTTTATTTTTCAAACGTGATATAGCATGAAACAAATTGACATTTAAACATTTTGCATTTGTTTCTTTGTTTAATCTTTATAGCACATTAAAATTTTTGCTAGACACTGTCGGAAATAAGCTGTGAGACACTGTATATATATATATATATATATATAGTGTCTGCGTGTCTATATACATATACATTTGTGCATGTGTTCGTGGACAGTTTGTCAATGATCGTTGGCAAATGGTGAACGACAATCGGCGAGCTTTTGTACAGTGGGGCAAGGATAATCTTGGTTAAACATATTTTGTGATTTTTTTTTTTGTTTTTATCTCTCTCAAAAGCTGAGCGCCACTTGTTTAGAGCAGCTCTTATGAAATAGAGATTATGGAAAGTGATTCTAAGCTTTTTTGAGCATTGCCTACCACTGTGCGCACTAGAAATTAGTGACATGTTGTCATATTGCATTGTTGCTATTTGGCCAAAATTCAAAAACCTCAAAAAAAATGGCTCGTGAAAAGTTTTGTGAATATAAAAATAAAATGTTAGCCAAAAAGCCAAAAGCCAAACAACAAATGCGGCAAAGGTTCTCAAGGGAGTCCGCCAGCGAACTAGTGTGAAATAGAGAGAGCAAGAGAGAGAGAGAGAGGGCGAATAATATTGTCTGCTATTCCAAAATGAAAACGACGTCAGTTGCTGCTGCCGCTGCTGCTTTTGCTGGCAGCGCTGGTGGCAGCAACATGCCAAAACAGCCGCACCACACACGTAGACTCGAAAATATGTCAAAAGCTAAGGCAACAACAACAAAAATTATTGATAAGCTGCGGCGGCCAAACGCAGAAAGCACATAAGAAAAATAGAAAGAATCAACCCTCAGAAGCACACCGAAGATTGCACACACTTGCACATGCCGCACAACAGCTGCCCGCAACTAAATTTCATTATAATCGACGATACTTGAACGCGGATTAGATAGATTGCAAAGACTGAAATAGATGTATCGATCAATGCCTGATCTACAACATATGTGTATATAGAGAGTGGGAAGCTTTCGCCTGCTGCTTTACACTACCAGACAAATTGATGAGAACTCCTCGCCATGAAGGGTATACAAAAATAAAAAACACGGCGAAAAATGAAAGAGGAAGAGAAACAATTCCAAAAGCTACTCTGTGTGTCTGAGTTTGTGTGCGTGTAAACTTTGCAGTTTGCTCCGTCGTCACTTTGCAGCAATGTTTACAATACGCATTCTCATATGTCATGTCGCTAACGGTGCTTGCTTGCTTGCAATTGGTGATCGATACACACACACACATACACACACATATGCGAATGGCCTTCCCTTTGAACAGAGGGCCGCCATGTCAAGTCCAAAACAAAACAATTGCATTTGCGAATGCAGCTATGTATGTGCTGCTGCTGCTTCTTCTAATTCACATTCGCATAGACACGCAAGCCCCCTCACACTCACACCCACACCCACACACACACTTACCAATAAAGCGCAACTCATGCTCTGGCTCAATGGACAGCGCCACTTCGTATTGTGGTGTTTTGTTCATTTTTATTTTTGTTGCTGTTGTTGTGCTGCTGCTGCTGATAATAACTATGTTGCTACTTTGCAACGATGCTGCTGTTCCTGCTTCCTAGAAGAAAAATTTACAATGAGCAATTGGCAATTGAAATTATATATATACATATATAAATATATATGTTTTTTTGTATATAATTCGTGTACCTTGCGTTTAAAGTCCGAAACTTGTTTATAATTCGTTTAGCTTAGCACACAACGAAGATTCTTAAATCAACGCGACTTTTTACAAAAAATTTTACTTTCGATTTCGCTTGTTTTTTTTTTCTTCACAGCGCTTCACGTCGTCGTCGTCGCTATGTTTGTGTGCAGTCACCAAAATATCGGTAAATGTATGCGCAAAAAGAAATGAAATGCACGAGGTTGTCGCGTGCAAAAAACTGACGATCAACGTGTCGTTTGCAATGCACTCAAACCGCTAATGTGCAATGGGCTTCTATGCGTCTGGCTTCTGATCCCAGTTTACGTTATTTCACGCACTTTAGCTTCGTACTTCTCGCAGCGAAATTTTCGTATGCAAAAAAAAAAAATCAGTCACCGCCGTATGTATGATCAACGCATGCGTCAACCCTGGCGTACCAAAAAAAAACCAGCCGGCATGAAATGATGCCAGATCGTCGATAGAACGCAGTGGTAACACTGCTTACGGCAACTCTGCGATAGCAACTGAAAATTAAACCGCCAAGTTAAATTTCATGCGCATAAAAGCTTCAAAAATGAGTAAAAAGGCCAAAGTCAATACATTCATTAAATAAGGCAATCTGTAGCTGGTAGAAGAGAAGCGTGGATTTTTAAGGTTTTGAGACAATTTTTGCTTTTGTTTATTGTGGGAGATGTATTCACTTAATCTCTTAAATAAAACACAGGAATGCCTTAATTAATAAGCTTGAGAATACGCCTAATGGTCAAATGTATTTTCTACAACGCTAGCTATGACAATTGCATTCAAATTAGCAACAACAAAATTAAAATCCTCCTTAAAATTAATTTTTTCTTGCGTAACGATTTAAAAGAAAAGAGGCTTTCTACTAAATATGTAAGTGCAGCAAAATAGCGTTACAGTTTCTATACGCTAGTGCTGGAAAACTAAAAAAGCTGTTACTACACGCCAGAGCTGGAAAACGCAACACCACACATGCATTTCCGTTATATGTATATTTAAAATTGCATTGTGAAAGGAATAAATTAATATTAAATAATTTGATTGTTAACACCCGCAGACAAGGATAAAGATCAGTCAGTTCAGTTGAGGACTTTCACTATGCGTCTTGTCCTGACCATCAACGGACTTGATATCAACAGCCGAGTTCACTTGCTTACTAAATACAAAAGTGTGATACTGTTTGGCCAATTGGGCGCAATTCAGCGACTCACCGCCACATTGGCGATAACAGGCAATTAGTTGTTGCTCCATCAGACCAATATCGGCCGTGCACTCATTGGCCGTTGCCCATTTTACGGGCTGGCCAAACAGGCTGTGCACATGGGCTACCATCTTGCTAAATTGCAACTCCTCCATTTCTATTGAACGACGTGACCAGGTTGCTGCAATGTCCATTTGGTGATGCTTGCACGGTTGTGTTTTGCATGGTGCATGCTGGACGTCAATTGGGCTGCAATTCTCACAGGTAGCTGGAGGGAGAGTGGGCACGGCAGCGGCAGCGGCAGATTTCTTTCGATTTGTTGCATTCTCGACACGCTCCAATACATCCCGGCTTATCTGAAATACGGATGTATTCGACATTTGCACGGTATGCGGCTTGCTGTTGCCGGCGCCCATATCTAAATATCGTTCAAAATTCGTTTCAAATTTTTGTGTTTCATCTAAAAAAACAAAATGAAAGGGAATAGATTTCGTCTGGCTAACTAGAAAGCAATTTTTGTAAATTACAAACAGCAATATTATATATATATATATACAATTATCCATGTCGTCAATATGAATGCTTTCAAGTTTTTCAAAAATTAAATTAGTTTCCGAGAGAGAATCTTATCTAAAGTGCGAAATTGCAAAAGGGTTCCTGAGATTGCCGGCATAGGCATCGGCAAGGAAGACGGCAAACACGCTAATTGGATGGCAGAGCAGCTTGCTGGGAATGCGAAACACCTCGTTGGTCCTCTTGGGCAGCTCGGTGCCATCGGTTGTCTGGCTTGTCTCGTCCTGCAGTTGTGTCTTCATTTGTATTTATTAATTTACTTAATGTCAGCCAAAATCAGTCGACATAAAAAATAAATTACATTAATTTAAAATATTAAGAATAAAGGATTTTTTATTTAATGTGTTGAAATATGTTTGAATTTCGCAGCAACGATTAATACTTAAGTATCGCTATATCGATTAGTATCGAAGATCATGTCACACATGAATTGTCTTCTTTCTGCGTTGTATTTTTCATAAGTTCAAAAGTTGCTCTCCATTCTTCAACAAGTAAAAACGCACTCGCGCATAATAAAGATAATCCATAATCAGAAACTGCGCTTAACTCTTCATTTTTCCACATAATTTACAACATAATGTTTAACTTTGGGGATATATATATACATAGATTTTTGTAAGTTCACTTTATTTTTATACTTTATAAATACAAGTGTAGAAACGTAAATTAATACATTTAATTTGCATGGATGCCATGCGTACAGCTCGCTTCTCGAGAATAACCAAAACTAATATATAAAATAAATAATACTAATAAGTAGTTGACTTCAATTCTTAAATACAATAATAATACAAAAGATCCTTTGTTGCTAACGGGCACTGTTGGTAGTGACATATTTGCACAGTTATCGATATATTTATGTTAGTGTAGCGATTGCGATTGTCGAATGCTTTCGACGAGTGCCGCAAAATTCGTATATAGTGGATTGGTGCTAAAGTAGAGACCGATGAGCAATTTGAGGTGAGCCGACGTCAAGGGATATTTAGCGGTGGGCATAATAACGATAGCATCAATATTGCATGCATGCTTGAACATGTTTTGCATTTGCATGTAATTGCAAAAGGCCGCCGCACACTTGGCCATGTGGCGGATGAGTATTTGTAATTGAGTATTCGAAATGAGTTCGGCGGCAACAATCGAATTCATATCGAACACAATCAGTTGGGGTCGGGGCAAACAATCGAACAGCTCGATAATATGCCGCGGTGCGCTCTCTATCTCTTTCAATGCAACAATGCTCATGCAGCGCTCCATGTGAGCTAAGGAGCGCGGTTTCTCCATTGTGTCCACCAGATACAACATTTCGCAGTTCTCTGTTAGCAGCAGCACCTTCTTCTCATTCTGCACACAATGCTCGCACAACTGCAAGAAATTGGCCAATGAAATTTGAGATTCGACGATCATCGTTTAAAGCCGAACTGATGCTCACCTTCAGCAAATGGGTACTGTATTCGACATTAGACGCCAGATATATGTGATATCTGATCAGCTGGAAATGTTTTATATTTGTTGGTATCACATAAATTGCATCTCATTTAGTACTTACATCGTCATCTGCACTGTGCTGCATATCCGTTGTATTTTAATTTGTCTCTTTGATCATATGTACAATTATAATCTAGAGTTGCAGCTTTGCCACATTAACATGCCGATTTTTCGATAGTTTAAGTGTAGTTAACGATATCCTTATCGGTATTTTTGCAGAGCCCCATACAATTGAAAATGTATTTTACAACACTGTTAGTGCACACTCATATTTGCTGACAGCTTACAGCTGTGAGTTGCTAGATTAAAATAAATTATACATTTCAAGTTTGTTAATTTTAGCATCACGAAATTGTTAACAACATTAACATCGCATTCAAATAATTGAATTGAAAACCACCCAAGACATAACATTCAAGCCGTGGTGAAATATTTGCGAGCACTCATTTTGAATTAAAGTTCAAACGAGTAAATAACATGGCCATTCTGAGTATAAAAGAGCTAGTGTAGTGCTGTAAATGACCGGCAGTCGAGCGTACTTACTCACGAGTGGAGCAACCGGGATAGATATACAATACAAAAAAAGAGCGAAACAACTATATGTGAACTATCGCACCGTGCCGACGAACGAAAGAGCGCACAAAGCGTAATGTGCAAGAATTGAAAAAAATCATCAAGTATAGAGGCCAAAAGCAAACGCAGCAGTTGGGCGATTTATAATAATTTTTAATAAATAACCAAAAGAAACGCATGCTAGCTGCTTAAAAACAGGCAATTGAATGCAAGCGCTGAACAAATTGCGGTAAGCTAAACTGCCAAACCGAACAGCGAACAGCAAATTGCCAAAAAATCTAAAGAAGCGACGACGACGACGACCAACAACCACAAATACACACATACACCGACACACACATACGCACACAGTCGAGTGAAAAAAGTGCAAGCCGCGAGCGCTTTTGAAGGCGTTAAACGCAGATCAGCATCGAAGAAAACTGGCAAGAAGAAGAGTTATGCATGAAGAGTTAATTGCAATTCTTACTGCATCCACATGCTGATGCTTGCCACATTCAACGGTAAACGGTAAACGGCACACTTGCCGACGACGGCTGCGACGCACACACACACACGCATACATATATAATATATATATACAAATACACTCGCAAATACAGTAAAACACACACACACCCATACAGAGACAGAGACACGCACACATACATATAGACACCCGCGCGTTCCGTAGTTGGAGCGGAGCAAGGAGTCTGTGGAAGAGGAAGAGGAGTGTGGAGCGGAGAAAGAGGCAGCCAGGCAGCGCTGCATTATCTGCCATTATCTTGCAAGAAGAAGAGGCAGAACGCAGAAGAAGAAGAAGCACGAATAAGGAATAAGCAAATAGCCCAAAAGGGGGGAACAGCGCGGGTGTCCACAAGCTGATGCCACTACTGGAATAACAATAAAATTAACAGCAACAACAATAACAGCAGCAGCAGCAACAACAGCAATCAACAAGAGAAGCGTATTGGCGAAAACTTTGCATTGATGGTAATGCATGCTAGAAAACCGCAGCGAATGAACGATGGGTAAATTACAAATTGAATAACATACACAATAACATAACATGCATAATAACATTTACAGAGTGCTTAGTTTGTGCTAACATCCTAGTTTAATGCATGCACACGCGTACAAATGTAAATGCAAAAGCATGTGTGTATGTCTATACATGACATGTAAAAAACTTAAACGACAACTTTTGTTTACATATACATATGCACACGAGCACACACACCTATACCAGCATAACTTTATCGTTTTTGTTGGATATTCATTGGAAACTGTGTTTTTTTTTTGTTGTTGTATAGTATTATTGTTGTTGTTGTGCATTAACTAATATCCAGGCATTTAATAATGTTTTAATGTAAGATTGTAATCATAGAAACTGTTATTTTGTTGTTCTGTGCTCGTCTCGCTTAGCGCGCCTTGTTTCATTCTCCTCTCCTCTGCTCTCCTTTGTGGATAATATTAAGTTCTTCAACATACTTGATTGTCCTCTCACTCGCACTCTCAATAGGTCTGCTGCCTCTCTGTCGTTTACCGTTTACCGCTTGCATTTCGCTACGGTGTTCAATATGTTCTTTTTGAATAATAATTTAAGCAACTCCAGTTAAAGATTAAAGAGGTGCATTATTACTATTATCGCACTGTACTGCAATGCATGGACAACCCTATTAACTTTGCCATACAATTTATTTCGAATCCAACTCAATTTGTATGTAAATCTTAATCTTAATAATAATATGCGTGTAGTTATAACTGTCAACCAGTCGGATTCAAACGACAATTTTAATGAAGCGAAACCAGTGGAAAGTTATTATAATTTCCGATGGGAGCAGGATAAAATGAAGAAGGAGACTGTTGGTGATGGACGGATCAGATTATAGTTGAGATAGCACCGACGTTATCGTTTAACGACAATATAGGAGATATTTTAGAGAGTATTATTGAGGAAGCTGGTGATTAGGGCGTGTCAGGGTACCATAATAATCCAGAACTGATCATAACAGATCAGAATCATAATTCAGATGGCGACAACGATGTCGATGCCGATAACGATAACAAGGCTGAAGTTGACGATAACGACAACGATGACGATGACAAAAAACTGAGGTGTTAAATCATTTCCAACATTGGCAAACATAAAAACATTAAATTTTAAAATAAATACATATTCCTTTCATTACTTGTTGCTTAAAATTGCACGATTTTTTATTACACCTGCTTATTTACTCATATACTACTTTTAATTAACAACTATTTGAATAACAATTGATTAATGCTGTGTATTTTTATTCTATTTGATTTGCAGGTACTTTGAGAAGCATACCAGTCACACATCCTACCAGGTGAGAGCCTTATGATGATTGATTCCCCTTGATTGCCAAATTAGCCAAATCGCCAGACCCAAAAAAAAAAAGAAAAACTAAAAAACACCTCCCCATCTGAGACCCAAAATCTTTAGCTAAACTACTAATAATCAAACGTAGTCTTTTGTCAGCCATTTAGTGTTTTACTTATTTCGTTATTGTTTTTGTATTGTATGTTGTTGAAGTTCTTTGTAGATCATTTGTAGTCTCATATTTGATGTATTTATATTGTGTGGAGATATTATATGGAGATATTATTTCATTCGTTTGATCCATGATCTATGATATATGTATGTGCTGTAGTTGTGTGTATTTGTCTGTATTTAGAACTGACGCAACTTTCATTTATATATTATTACCCCCATTTCCAACCCATTTCCGTATTTTTTTGGGCACGCGGCATTGCAGCGAATCAAACGAACTGATCTAACTAACTAATAACTACACATAATTAGAGTAACTTTTGGATAGTGCCTCAAGTCGATTAACACTGGAGATAACAATTCCCCATTCAAATTCTAAATCGAAATCGTAAATGAAATCGAAATCGAATATCGAAAACGCAAATCGAAACGAATTAAAATTAATAGAACGCTAGAAAAATATGAACACAATTCTTTTTTTTTTATTATAAATGCTTTAACTTAAAACAGAAATGTTGAACGAACTTCCAATTGCCAGACCAAAAACGCAAAAGCAATAAAACAAATTAACTTCACTCACTTTAATTAAGTACAAAACTAATAAAAAAGTTAAAAAACAAAACAAAAAATCAACAAAAGTAGCCTTAAATTCGGATCGAATCGAACACAAAACTCGCATACAACTAAATAAATAATTAAATAAACAAAATAAATTAAAATAAAATAAATAAATAAAAACAACAAACACGAACGTGCCTAAGCCATAAACAACAACAATTAAAATAACTAAAAAAAAACAAAACGAAAAGAAACAAAATATAACAGGAACAAAGGGAGGATCAAACAGGCAGACTGACAGATTGACAGAAAAATATATATACATAAATAGAAAACGTTTAAAGGAAGCCACAAATTTCACACTGCATTGCCTGAGCAACATTGAGGTGTTGCTGCTGCAACAGGCAGCAACCAGAACGGCAACAACAACAGCAACAGCAGCAAGGACAACGACGGCGGCAACAACGAGGCGACAATTGAGGAAGCCGCGTCCACGCGGCGGCGGCGGCGGCAGCAGCAGCGGTAGCGGTAGGACGAGCACAACACCAACGCCGAGTGGCAGCAACAACAGCAGCAACACCAGCAGCAATAGCAACAGCAGCAGTAGCAGAAGCAACATGGCCCTCTATTTGACGCTGCTGAGCATTTGCAGCAATAATATCAACAACAACCACCACTATAAGAATAATAACAACAATAACATTTGCAACAGCCATCACATCAATAAAGTTATTCATGCAACTGCCACAATGTCCGCCTCCCTCGGAATTTGTCACGTTGATGTAAGTAATTTTAATAATAATAACAACAGCAACAACGGCAACAAGATCAAAGATACACAAACATTAAACAGACGTTAAATAAAGTGGACCGAAATGATTAAACATTTTTTAAATGCGAATGCAATTTGAACTTAAGCACATTTCACAAAAAATGCAAACACAAAGATGATAACAACAACAAAAACAACAGCAACAACAACAACAACAACAACAACAAAACAGCAGCAGCAACTGCACCAGCAACTGCAACAACAACAATTGCGACTTGCAACTTGCAACGTGTTAATTTAGAGGCAAATGAAAAGCAAAACAAATAAAAAACAAAATTCACATTTGATATTGTTTACGTGTTTTATGTTCGCTTATGTTTCGTGTTGCCCATAATCAGCAAACCCCCCACTCTCCTCTTCCCTTCCACCTTTGCCCGTCCCTATACCCCGTTGAACCAACAACCACAAGCAGCAGACACACACAAACACACACTCAACACACACACACACACAACACACATTTTCAAAATTTTATTGAACAACAATAAAAACTATTAACTCAAAAATCCACTTGATTAGCAAAAAGCGCAAACAAATCATTTGTAGCTATATTTTGTTTATTTGTAGTTTTTTGTTTATGTTTTTCACAACCCCTCCCCGACCACCAACCCCAAACCCACCAACCCCCCACAGAACAGAAAAGAAATCCCATTTTTAATTGGTAACAACAATAACAAGCTTACAACAAGTAACAAGCATATAACAATATTAACAATAATAACAATATCAATATAACCAAAGAACAATAATATATTCTGCGAATTGTTGTGTGTGTGTGTGTGTGTGTGTGTGGGTGTGTGTGCGTGTGTATTATAATACTTATTTTAATGCCCAAATTTGAATTTCGACAGAGTTCAAAGTACAGCAGTTCAAAGCGCGACTATGAACGCGATCGTTCCTCCAATTATCGCGATCGTGACATCTCACCTGGCGCTGGAGGCGGCGGCGGCGGCAACGGTGGTGGAGGCGGCGGCAGTGGCGGCGGTGGAGGCAGCGGCGGCGGCAACGGTGGTGCTGGTGCACCACTGAATAATGGCAACAGCTATCGATCACAGTCACCAGACATAGATTCACCATCGTCTCGATCGCATGATCTGCGCGATCGCAACGATCATCGCAGCAGTGGTGGTGGTGGTGGTGGTGGCGGCGGCGGCAGTGGCGGTGGCGGCGGTGGTGGTGGCGGCGGTGGTGGTGGTCGTGGTGGCAGCAACGAGCGCTACAGTTTCTTACAAAAGATGCGTGAACGGGATCGCGATGCCTACAAGAAGGATAAATATTCCGGTAACAATTCCCAATCCAATTGCCTAAAACTTCATTGAAATACAATTATTTAATTTGCATTTAGATAAACGTGATCGGCGGGGCAATGATCGCGACTCGGAGTCATCGTATCGCACGAACCACGACAGGGATCGTCGTGGTGGTGGTGGCGGTGGCGCTAAGCTCTGCTCGTCGCGGGACAACGATAAACGTTCTGGTTCCGATGATCGGGATCGTGAGCGCGAGCGCGATTTGCGCGACAAACGTGACAGGGGCACCGATCGGGACAGGGACTTGTACAAGAAGGACAAATATGCAGGTGTGTCTTCAAGTTATAATATATAAAGAGCTGATTTGACTGCAACTATGTCTTATTCCATATTACTTCTGCTTTATTCGATTCGATCACAGACAAACGCGAGCGCAGCGATCGCGGAGAGCGTGTGGCGCGCTATGGCGACTGGAGCGAGCATGTGAGCTCCTCTGGTAAGTGGGCCCAAATACCAAGGCTAAATCTCATCTTGAATGCTAAACGATTTTCTTATTTTATATGCGACAGGCAAAATGTATTACTACAACTGCAAAACTGAAGTCTCCCAATGGGAGAAGCCTAAGGAATGGGTGGACAGAGAAAGGTAAACCAAACCACATCAAAAGACTCAAATTTTGAACCCTTGAATTAGAATCAAAACCATCAAAGGACAACTTACTATTCAGAGAGTTAGAGAGAGAGCGAGAGACGAGTCGAGTTGAGTTGAGTTGAGAGAGATTCGCTAGGCGCAGATTAATCTTTTGTTGAGCATCTTTGGTCAATTGATGTGTATATATTCTTGATCGAATTTGATACAGCTTCTGAATTGTAGTGTTATTAATTTTTGCAATAATTGTTAATAATTCATTTGGTTTTTATGATTCTTATCTAACTGATGATAGTTAAAAAATCATTTGAATTTTAGTGAGGTGGAAACGAGACTAGTTTGGCCAGAGAGTGAGGGAGAGTTTAGAGTTCTTACAGATTCGTTGAGTGTGCCAGGCTAGGGAATTGGAATAAAAAGCAAAATTGATTCAAACTAAGACGTTTTCTTCTTGAAATTTCGTTCAGAAATTTGCCGCGTGATCAGCATCGTGAAAAGGAGTATCGCGACAAGGATCGGGACAGAGACCGCGATGATCGCTTTTCAAGATCGAGTAAGTGATAGCCAGTTGTCTAGCTAGACTCTTTGCAGTCTCAATTAATGAATGCATTTTTCTCTGACAGCATACAAACATTCCAATTCATCGCGCAGCAATTCACGACTGAGATGGAATTACGACAACGATGGTGGCCCGCCCAGCCATCGAAGGCGTTTGGATGGTGAGCAACAGCAGCGACAAGCAGCAGCAGCACCATTTAATTAATTGTTCATCTTGAGCTAATGTTTTGAATTGATTGCGCAGGTCGACATAACGATAATGCTGATATGGATATCAGCGGCGACTCAACGCCCACCTCGGAGGCCAGTTATTCGTTAAGCGGCACGCCCACAACACATGGTGGCAGCGGCGGAGGCGGAGGCGGCGTTGGTGGTGGCGGTGGTGGTGTTCAGTCCAACGAACAGTCGTCAATGATGCCACAGGGGGCATTAAGCAATGCACTGCCACGACTGGCCTCCCACCCAAACTCCAGCGCAGTGGTTACGCCAATGGGCGTCGCAGGTGCTGGAGGTGCCGGTGGTGGCGGTGGAGTTGGGGGACCGGTAAGCGGCGCAACAATGCTGCCCACCAGCGGATTGGCCTCGGTGCCGTCGAGCATTGCCAACAGCAGTAGCAGCAGCCTTAGAAACTCAGTTGTCGGCCACATTGGCTCAACGTCCAGCGTAAGTGTGGCCCAATATGATATATATAATATACAGCTGAGGTTAAATGAACAGTAGTTCGCACAAATATTTTGCAAAATGCTTGAAAAGTACTTAAAATATAGCTGGGAAATTATGAAAATTTGATTTGAACACAAGCAATCATTGTGTAAGTAATAAGTAAACATGAAAAGTTGGCATAGCCATAAAGTGAACTAAGAACAAAGATGAAAGATGAAAATGTATTATTTTTATATTTATTTGTATTAAATTATTATTTAAACTTATCATTATAATAGTAGTAGTGGGATAATAGTGAAGTTTTCTCAGCTTTCCCTTTTTAAACTACGTTTAGTATTTGGAAAATAATTGTATTTTAGACCATGCCTCGATGAGAAACCAATCATTTTTGGTTTTTGCAGAATTGAATTGATTTATCCATGATATTGCAGATTTTGAAGAGGTCTCGATTTGATCACCATAAAATGAGTATTATTGTTAAAAAAGAATGCTTTGAGAAGCGGCACTACTATTATTTTGACCGCAACTGTATATAGTTAACTCTCTCCCTCTCCCTCTCCCTCTCTGTCTCTGGCTCTCTTTCTAAATTGTATATCTGTCGTGTTGTGCAGACAACTGTGCCGACGCTGGCGAATCAGGAGCAGCATCATCCGAACTCGAATTCGTCTGTGGCGGGAAGCAAACTGCTCAGCGGCGGTGTTGGCGGCGTTAAGGATCAGCAGACGGCGCTATTGATGCGACAGAAGCTACACTTGGCCCTCAGCGGTCTGGATGTGTCGCATCATCACATCAGCAGCAGCAGCAGCAGCGGCAGCGGCTCCATTGCCGATGTCAATCATGCCTACAATACGGTCAACAATGTGACTGCCAGCCTATGCAGCCTGAGGTAAGCAAATCAACCATAACCATAACCATAACTATAACTATAACTGAAACTATATGTTTACAAATAATAATCATCAATATTGACACACAGAGATAATCAACACAATTCGCCGCTGTGCATGCCGCATGCTGCTGCCCATCACAGTCTGTCGCCGTCGCTGAGCTATGCAAAGAGTCCGATACCAACGATTGTGAGTCACACGAACAATGTGAATGCCGCCAGCAGCAACAATGCTTACACCTGCAATGCACCGTTTGGCCTCAAGACGGTCGATGGGATTGCTGTTGGCGTTGGCGTTGGTGTTGGCGTCTCCTCCTCCTCATCAGCAAACGCGGCGAATGCGTTGGCCAATTGTAATGCTGCCATCGTTGGCGGCGGCAGCGGCAGCAGCAGCAACAACAGCAACAACAGCAACAGTAACAACAGCAATAATAGCAGCGGCAGCAGCTGCAGCTTATCGGGTCTGGGCACTGTCAGCGGCATTAGCGTCATCACCTCCATGGGCAGCAACAGTCTGTGCGGGAGTCAGTCAGCGGGCGGTGAGGGTCCGCCGACGCCCACACAGGAACTAGATTTAAGTGGCACACTTTTGGAGCAACACCAGCAACAAATGGCAGCGGTAGCAGCAGCCGCAGCTGCCGCAATGGCTGCCGTTCAAGCAACGCAACAGGCAGCGTTGCAGCAGGCTCAACAGCAGCGCAAACGTAAATTTCAATTACAATTTATTGTTATTATTATTTTTGTAGTTTCAGTTAATTAATACTTCTTTTTTTTTTGTCATTTGCACAGTTGATGGCACCGGTTCGGGCACTTTGAGCACGCTGCAGAGCTGTGTGGCCTCGGTACAGGCTGGAAATCTGCGCGGCCCCGAAATATCGCCCAAGTTGGCCAAATACTTTCGCGCTGATCTAATTGCGCACGTGACCAACTGGCAGGCGGAGGTGCTGGAGCGACAGGTGAGTTATCGCCCGGCAAAGATAACAATCGGTACTGATTCGGATAGAATTAGCTGACTATATGGGATTTTCTTGATAGTCTGTGGGTTTTTCTTTATGTTTCCTTTATTTTCTAATCGGATCCATATTCATGAAAATGTTTAGAAAGTCGCCCAACAGTTGCATTTGACTAATTAACAATCAGCAGCAGTTCCTAATATTTATTCGGTTATTTATTTATTTACTTATTTATTTATGAACTGTCAAAAAAAAGTATTATTAGCGATTACTGAGCACTGAGCAAGGTCTTCAAATCGGGGAATAGTTACGAGCAGAGCGATCTTATTATTTTTGGGCGGGTGTCTTGTGTTTTTGGAATATTGTATATGACAAATTAGCGCTTTTTATATACTCTGTTTGGAGCTTAACTGTTGGCGTCGTGTACTGTAATGATTCTAAGAGAATGGCCGTTAATCTTTGTCTGTCTATCTGTGTCTGTCAGGCGCAGAAGTGCTGCGAGGATACACATCTGCTTGGGGACATCACCTGCACACGGATATGCGCTGAACTGAAATGTGCCCGCAGTTTGGTGCGCACCACGGAGATCAATGCTACGCTGCAAGAACAGAAGTGAGTTGCATATATATTTATACATATACACAATATATATACATATACATATACATATATATATAATATATTTTTTGTTATAGAATCATGTATCTGCGCCAGCAAATCCGTCGCATTGAGGAGTCGAAGACTCAGAACGCTTTCATGTCGGACGATACTTAGGATCAGGAGCAGGTTAGGCTGCGCGTGCATCGCAAGCTGTCTGTCAGGCTCAAAAAGAGCCCACTTTGGCGCAGCTGATGATATTGATAGTCCCCCTGCCCCTTGAATTTTTGCTCCCCCCCTTTAAATACTGAAGCAGATCATCAAATTAAGAGCTCATCATAATAAGAATATGATGATGGGATGAGCAACAACAACAAGGGGGTGGCAGGGGGCAGGACAATCACACGTGCATCCTGCCTTGTTGACGACGGCGGACATTCTCCTCTCGGTGGTTGACTGTGGCAACAACGGGACAACTGTGCTCGTGGCAGGCAAACAGTTGCCCCGCCAAATGGTCGACGACAGCAAACAGTAGAGCAGCGGCAGCAACAGCAACAACAAACAGAAACAAACAGAAACAACCAACACGGACACGATGATAATGATAATGATGATAATGATGATGATGATGATGATGAGAAGAAGAAACACAAAAACCTAAAAGATAATTTATAATTAGCAATGCGTAATTAATAACTTAAATAGGCAATGGAGCGCAATGGAAATATTGTGCTTATTTTGCTTCTATTTAAAAACAACAGCAACAACAACTCCAGCAACAACAACAACAACTCCAGCAACAAGAAAAACAATTAAGAAACAACACCAATAACAATAACAATCGCAACAATGTTGTAAAACTAATTTAAAACGGAAGAGACTACAGACAAAAACAAATTCAAATAAACAAATAAACAAAAAAACAAATTTTAACAAATTCAAGAAGCAATACGAAAGAAGCCTTCTCGTATCGAATTGAAGAAACAACAAAATAACAAAATTGAAACCAAAACACCAACAACAAAAACAAAAAACAAAAAAAAAAACAAATAAAAGAAAAAAACAAAAGATAAAGGAAACCAAGTCAACCTAGTATACTCAACTGCAATAAAATGCTACTTTAACTATATAATATATATATACATACATATATACATATATAAATATATATGTATTATATATATATATATATATATATAAATAGAGTATATGAAAAATGTATATTTACAACGTCAAACAAGTGTGTGGCTGCCGGGAAACGATGGACTCGATAAATCCCCTTTTTTCACTCGAAAGAACTAAACAAAAGAAAACAACAAAAAACAAAAACAGAATACAAAAAATAATTATTGTTATAGAGACAGAGAGTGATAAGGAAAGGAGGAGTGCGCGCGCGGGTAAGGAACTGGGAATATGTGTTCCACACGCTTAGCCTTCATAATATCCGCAGATGAAAACCGTTAGTAGCAGGGGTATTCTATTTGGCAGTCTCAAAGCCTTTTTGTATGTGCAAAAAAAAAAACAAAAACAAAAGAAAATTGTTAAACTTTGAAGACGTCGTTTTATCTATATACCAAATACAAATTTTCCAACTGGTTTTTTATAACAATATTGCATATGTGTCTATGAAAGAAAATACGGTTTTGATTGCATTGCGAGTGTATTCATTTGTTGTATGTTTTGGTTCTTTGCTGGCGCTTTTTTTTGTGGCAAATTGTGCTGCTGCAATGGAACATGGACATGGACCACACAAGCGATTTTTGTTTATGGATTGTAAATGACCGCTAATTTATACAAATATGTCCTCATTCAAAAAAGAAGGAATATCATAGCTCTACAATAAAAAACAAACACACTCACACACACACATCCACACACACATACACACATCCACACACACACACACACACACATCCACACTCCTTCCCGAGAGCGCCTGTCCGCTTGGGCTTCATTTCTAGTAGCTTCTTAGTTTTAATGCGAAACTGTATTTATTTTGTTCTTGAAATTGAAAATTGTATGCAAGCCTTGTTTTTTACGCATTATTATTACAACTTTTTTTTTTATAAATTAAACTAGAAATTAAAATATATATATATATGTATACATATATATATATATATATATATATTAAAACAATACACATGCATATACATGTGTGTATTGTGTATGAAGATCATTTTTCTTATTTAAGCAACTGAATGAAATGCAAAAAGAAACGTTGAACAACAACTAACACAGCACGCGTGTGTAAGAAATTGATGAGTTTTTAATTTAAACATGTTTAAAGCAAATCAGAGGAATGCAAAACAAACAAACAAACAAACAAACAAAAATTATATAAAACAAGCAAGCAAATTTAAAAATATAAATAAATATAAATAATAATAATAATAATAATAATAACTACTGTAGATATACATATAATTAAATACAATGGTACATATATAAATATATTTAAATACAAAAAGAAAGTAAAAATTAAAAATTTATATTATTTAGCTAAGCGTCAAAAACCGAAAAATATAAAAACTTTTATGATTAAAGCGATTTTAATTGGGTTGCATGATTTATCGATGTTACTAGTAACATTTGGTGACTAGCTTTCATATTTCTTGGGCCAATGATTGTTGGGGTGGCGGGTGTGGGCGTGGTCTGACGACGTATATGCCGATCTTTGAAGCAGTTTACCAGCAAGAAACCTTCCAAGTTTGGTGACCTTATCTTTATAAAATTGTGGAAGTTATGCGGACTTATCGACTTATAGTTTCCGTTGGCGATTATGGGCGCAGCTGTGGGCGTCGCCATACATTTTCTTATCGGTTTTTGAAGGCGGCTACTTAGCAAATTTAACGGCTCTAAATCAAATATATGCCGATCTTTGGGGACTGTAGCCTTAAAGTGTTGTGAGATATATATAAAGCTTCTTTGTCGATTTGCGATGATCGACATGATCGATTTCTTAGCCTCTTCGTGAAGGTACTACTCCAATTTTTATACTTTATCTGTGCCGGGCAGAGACCAGTATATTTTCCAAGTTTCAAGTCTCTGTCTCTAAAAAGTTGCTTTCATACAGAAAGACGGACGGGCGGACGAACGGACTGATACCACTCTGATGACATATACCATGATACCTTCGGTCAAGTCTAATTAAGCATGACAAAGCGGAGCGGAAATCTAATAATGCTGCGTTTAATATCATTAGGCATACGTTATAAAGGAATTGCAGTTGGCACAGCTGCCACAGCTGCCACATGAAACTAGTCAGTTGGCATTCAGACCAAGCAGAAAGCTTTCGTCTCTGTTTCAAATCGAACTTAACGTTTTAAGCTGCAAGCAAAAGCCCAAAGTAGCTTCTACTTTTGCCGGCTACGAGAGAGAGAGAGAGAGAGAGAGGAGGGAGAGAGATATAGATAAGAAGAGAGAGAGAGTGTAAAGAGAGCAAAGCTTTTGCTGCAAAGTGACAACAGTTAACCCAGCAGACATTGTGCAGAGCAGCGAATTCGCTTGCTTCTCCCAATGAACACACCGAATGAACACACTCACACACTCACACACTCACACACACACACACACACACACACACACACATAGGGACACATGCGTAATGCCGATGTTGTGTTTACGCACCCAGGCTGCCCCAAGTCCACCCCCCTGCTGAGCTGAGCAGTTGGCATCTGCGGCCTGTCAGAGGACACCGAATGCCAACAAGTAGCAGTTCAGCATTGACATCGCCAGCGTTCGCTTGCCTGGTTGGTTGCCTGCTTGCTTTGCTGGCTGGGCTGATGGCATTCTAGTAGTAGTAGTAGCAAGTAACAATTATAAATGCCACACGAAAATCACGAAACGACGAATAACGCAAAAAGCGAATAGCGAAGCGCCTTTTGAATATTGTAACGGTTAGTTTGTGAAAAGTGCCACAAGGGCTTTGAAAAACTACGTATTTTCTGTGTTGTGTTTCGTGTTTTCTCGTCTTTTGTGAGTGTCTCTAAGTGTTTTGTTTATTTTCTATATATATATATTTTTTTTGTTTAGTCTAGTGCAAAAGGGAATTTGTTCAGTCGACACAGAAACTCGTGTAAAGCAAAAAAAAAAAAAAAAAACAAACACTTTAATCATAATTAACCAAAGTACCAAAGGTAAAAGCGGCGAATAGGCGGTGAGTACTCAATTCCCAGTCCAAGTTCAAAAAATGAACTTCTATCGAATTACATTTGCAGCTTGTAGACTGTTGTGAATCCTTTGAATGCACCAAAAGTATATTTTGAATACGTGAATTGTGAGGTGATTGAGTTAAGATTGTGTCGATTCTCAGTCATCGTGTAATGTGTTCAAAATGAGTATTTTACATCGAATGCAAGTTGAAATACAAACCTTAATTCAGATTAATGGTCAGCATAACAGTTTTAGTTAAAAAATTATTGGATTTTTCGAATTCCTCTTGCGGTTTACAACAAATGCATTTTCAATTTCAGAATAGTCGTCAGCAGAAACTGACTTTGAACAACAACAAAAAGAGTATATATAGATTTTTAAAGGCGACAAATAGCATGTCCTTGATGTCCTTGTCCATTAGCACTGATTTAGTTTTCTATATTCGCAGCTAATTTTAAATAAGGAGTTACAAAAAAAAAAAAGAGCGAATCCTTGTCGCGTTCTCCAATACTCACGAGGACGCCCCTTCAAAGGATTCCCTGACATGATTTGTATCCTGCCAGTTGTTTTTTGCTCTGTTTTCTGTTCAAAAAAAATGTATACCCAATAAAAATTTGTATAAAAGAGGGTAGCTTGATGCTGTGCAGAAGGAAGCATCCCTGACTTCATCAGGTAATATAAATTCTTGATTAGCATCCTAGGTAATTTAGGATATGTGTAACTTCTCATATATCAATCACATTATAATCGATAATTTGATATCGATTAAAATCGTTAAGAAGTAGTGACAAACTTAATTGAATAATTGATATCAATATACTTTGGCATCATATTGATTGAGTTTCACATTGTACGATTTGGCTACAGGGTATCATCAAGTTGAACTCTCTCCACTGTTAGACATATGAATATATATACATTTATTTATTGTGTTTTGGCTCCTCCGTTGTCCTTTTGGCTTGTGCGCTTTATGCATTTTTGGCGCTAACAAAATTGCTGGCACTTAAAAATGGCGGGCACCAAAAGCATTTGACGTTTGCCAATGTTGACAATTTGCATTGCCCAATGCCAACAGTCATAAATTTGAAACACAACCAAGACTCTGATGCGGAAGCGCACTCGGACTCGGACTCGGACCCGGCTGGGATAGGGGCGTCTGAATCAACTGATGGAAACGAGTTGGAATTTTCTAAAGACATCAAATTAAAAATATAATCTTGATTCCGAAAAGAATGAAATTTTACAAAACATCATTTCTTTCGATATAAAAAAAAAAGAGAATTTCATTGTTAAGAACACATTCCTGATGCAAGATAATCATTTTTAATTTGATGTAGAAATTCCATATTTAATTCCAGCAATTTGCTTCAGAATGCCTTTTTGCTCTTTTTGCATATAAGAACTGCGTACTTGGTATGCATTCGAAATGATCAATTTTGTATATTCTCTGCATTTATTAACAACTGTTTACATTCAACATGACTCATCAAATATATATGTATCAGTGTGTGTGTGTGTGTGTGTGTGTGTGTGTGTGTACTAATGTTGTAAGTATGTAAATTAACCCTCTTTAGAATATAGACTTAATAGTGCACGATTTCCATACTTGTGCATACAAATTGAAAATTACAACTTAGCAGCTTCTGCTCAGATTTGAAATAATTTCTATTCACAGATTTGTAAGAAATGCTGCCACATTTCTATACGCAACACTGAATAAATCGAATAAGAAAAGCAACCAAGAAAATATGTATAAATAAAAGTATACAGCATATATCTGTGCTATTATTCATTTCATTTGAACAACAAAATGAATTGCAAATGATTTAAACGAAAATAAATATTTGCATTGCTGTGCAGAGCATTCAAAAATATTGAAAGAATACAAGCTGAAATCTCTTTATATTTACAAAAACGAACTATTCTTTTCAGAATCTGTGTACTGTGTACACAGGATCAATTGAGTTGAGTTCCAAACAT